AAGCTGTTGCCTAGCACATTTCTTAATGTTCATGCCTTATGTTACTGACAGATTCTATAAGAAGCTGGTACTGAGCACAAAGATTTCATTTAAAAAATTTTTTAAATTCAGTCATCAGAGTGACTTATGGAAGCAGAAAAGACTTTTCAGGTCTCTTCCATTGTGCAAAGGTTTTCAGAACGCAAAGGCTTTGAGTTGCCTGCCTTGCACTTCCTGGGTGATGATAGCTATAATATCCTAACACTCAATTGAGGGATTCAAGAAGAAGGGACTGTGCTGATGCCTTGCTGAAGGTGCCTGAGGTTGGCTAGACCGAACGAAGCCAAGAGCCGAGAACTCCATCCAGGTCTCTCTCACAGGTTGCTGGAACCCAGGTACTTGAACCTCAACTGCCCGCAATAGCAAGGACTGGGTTAGGCTGAAGCCAGAGTCCCATCTGGGATTGCATCTGGTTCTCCCACGTGGGTGTCAGGTGCCCAACCACCTGAGTCATTACTGCAGTACCCCAGGATGCAACACCAGGAAGCTGGATTGGAAGTGGAAAATCTTGGACTGGAACTGACACCCCATTAAGGGTGAGGGTTACTCAGTCCACTGAGCCACAACATCTGCCCCTAAATTTATCTTTTTAAAAATTTATTTGAAAGAGTTACAGAGAGGAAAGACAGAAAGATCTTCCATCCATTGATTCAGTCCTCAAATGATCACAGTGGCAGGATCACAGCTGAGCCAGAGCCAGGAATCAGAGGCTTTCTCCAGGATTCCTACATGAGTACAGGGGCCCAAGGACTTCAGCCATCCTTTGCTGCTTTCCCAGGCTGCATGTAGGGAGCTGAATCAAAAGAGGTGCAGCTGGGATTCAAACTGGTGCCCATATTGGATGTTAGTACAAAGGGAAAGCCTAGTCTATTACGCCACAGTGCTGGCATCTAAATCTATCTTAGTTTTTTGTTATTTATTTGTTTGTTTGTTTATCAAAATTATTTGAGGACCTGGCGTGATGGCTTAGTGGCTAAATCCTTGCCTTGCATCTGCCAGGATCCTATATGGGCACCAGATCATGTCCTGGTGGCCCCACTTCCCATCCAGCTCCCTGCTTGTGGCCTGCACCTGTGTGGCAGACCTGGAAGAAACTCCTGTTTCTGGCTTTAGATCAGCTCAGCTTCAGCTGTTGTGGCCACTTGGGGAGTGAACCATCAGACAGAAGATCTTTTCTTTCTGTCTCTCCTCCTCTCTGTATATCTGCCTTTCTAGTAAAAATAAATAAATCTTTAAAAAAAAACCCTATTTGAAGCATACTTACATTTTCAATGAAGAAAAACAAAGCATGTTTCAATGCAGGGAAATATCAAGTAGTGGGAAGCCTCAGCTGAAAAACAAAAGGAGCTAAAGAGAGAGAGAGAGAGAGAGAAAACTGGATGGAAAGGCACTTAGCATAGTGGGTAATGCTGCCATCTGTGGAGCCAGCATTCCACATGGGTACTAATTCAAGTCCTACCTACTCACTTCCTCTCTTACTCCCTGCTAATGTGCCTGGAAAAGCAGTGGAGGATGGCCCAAGTGCTTGGACATTGTACCAAAGAGACCTGGAAGAAGTTTCTGGCTCCTGACTTTGGCCCAGCTCCAGTCATTGTGGCCATTTGGGGAGTGAACCAGTACATGGAAGGCTTCTCTCTGTAGCTTCTCCCTTCATATATTATATACCGAAGTAAATCAAGAACTTCTACCTCCTCTTCTTTTAAAAAAAGAACTATAGAGGAATTTTGGAATTAAAAATATATAATGAATGAAATAAAAATTTAGCTGATTTTGCTGACAGAGGAAAGAATGCATAAACTTAAAGCAAGATCAATAAAAGATCGGAGAATAAAGGATTACCTAGGAAAAACCCCAGGGCCTTGGGATTTGTTAGATGATTTCAAACATGTTCACGAAGAGCAGAAAGGGCATGAGCTTAAGAACATTTTAAGAAAATGTGGCCTAATTTCCAAATTTTTAGTGCAGATAAATTTATGAAGTCATGATGTTAGAAAGGTAGCAAGCAGAAGAAACACCAAGAAATCCAGGGGAAGGCACATCAGGGCCAAGCTATTATAAGCTGAGGATTTAGACAAACGCTGAGGAGCAAACGACGATGGAAATGCTGCTATCAGGGAGCCTCGACTTGGTGAAGCAGTGACTATCAAAAGACCACGGAGGGCAGAAGGGAGTGGAGCGACAGATGAAAAATGCTGAAAGGGGAACAAAACCCATCCATGTAGTAGTCTACCTCTAGCAAAAACATTCTCGAGTGGAGGCGACATAAAGACGGTTTCCAACGAAAGGAACCTAAGGGAATGCATCCCTAGCACACCTGCCCTGCCATGCACGTTACAAGCATGGGTAACCTGGGTTAGCTCTGGAAGGGCCTGGGCAGTGGGAGAAGGGGGTCTGCACAGGGAGACGGCGTTGGTCACAGGAGAAAGGCACATAGCCGACGCGGGGGAGTGCCCAAGTGGCCCTACAGGAAGTACACTGAGGAGAGCGGGAGGGGAGTATCTCATTCTGGGAACAATTACAAATAGGAAAAGGAATTGTGGGTTGGAACTGGAAATATCAGTAGACACTTCTTTTCATTATGCACAGATGGATACAATGGGCATTCTTATCCACAGAGAAATATCCCAGATAGTACCAGATTCTACATAAACTGGTTTTTCCTATACACACATACCTGTGATAAAGTTTAATTTGAGCACTAGGCAGGTAAGGGATTAATAATAATGACTAAAAATAAAATAGAGCAATTATGGCAATATACTATGATTAAAGTTATATGAATGCTTTCCCTCTTAAAAATACCTTATTGTGGACCAAGCATGATGACTCAGTGGCTTGTATATGCTGGATCTCATGCAGATGGCAGTTCATGTCCCGGCTGCTCCACTTCTCTTCCAGCTCCCTGCATGTGGCCTGGGAAGGCAGTGGAGGATGGGCCAAAGCCTTGGGACCCTGCACCTGTGTGGGAGACCTGGAAGAAGCTCCTGGCTTCGGATCAGCTCAGCTATGGCTGTTATGGCCACTTGGGGAGTGAGCCAGTGGGTGAAGATCTTTCTCTTTGTCTCTCCTTCTCTCTGTAAATCCACCTTTCTGGTAAAGATATATAAATCTTTGGAAAAAATTAAAAATAAGAAAAATGAGAAAAAATTTAAAAATGCTTTATTGTACTATACTTGTACTTCAGGTAGCAGGAAACACTGATCATGAACTCATCGATTAGAGGGGACTAATGTAAAGAAATTAAATATATAACACGTGCGTATCTATGTAGCAAATGCCACCAACTGTGGGCTGCACTTGCTTCTTCCTTGGTCTGTGGTCATCTCCTGTTTTGGAGGGTCCGGCAGGTTCAGGAACGAGGTGAGGCGGGTGGTGGACACGAGGCAATCACGACCCCCTGACCCAGGACTGACAGCAAAGTGAGCCCACTCCCCGTTTACACCCCGGTGGGAGAAGCCAGAGCCCGGGCTGGGCGAAAGTGGGCGTTGACAAGAAGCAAGGGAAGTTCATCCCCAAACACAGACCGGGTTGGCTGTTACAGTAAGATGAGCTGTGCCTGTGGGGGTGGATGCAGGAACCGGGCCCTGGACAGGGACACGGCTGCTTTTGCGCTGCCCCTCACCCTCAAAGCACACACTTCCAATGAAGCAGTAGGGAGAGAAGAAAGTGAGCAGAGAGAGAAGGGAGTAATGTGAGGGAGAGCAACCCAGGTCAGGAAGATGGGTTCAAACAAAAAGGGCGAACACAACCTGGCGAAGACCAAACACTGCTAGGCCTGATGGTGTTCGACAATTTGCTCCTTCTAGAATGTTCTTTCCTCGGCTCTCAAGCCCTGCTGTCTTGATCTGCTGATAGCTTCCTCCAAGTTCACACAGGAGTGATGAGCAGACCTCGACTTGGCAAGCACTGATCAACAGAGCCTTGAAAGGAATCCAGAGCGCTACCCTACACAAAGGGTTCTAGTTTCAAATTTCTCACAAATTGACAGTGCAAAGAAAAGGAGCGACTGACTACCCCGTGTGGAAGGGGGTACTGGGTTTTGCTTTGGGGTGGCGATGGGATGGAGAATTCCTGAGTCTGTCCTCAGGATTAGAACCAGGCTCATCCTGGGCTGCCGCTTTGTCCTGCAGTCCAAGGCGATTGAAGTCAGAGAACGAGCGCCATCTGCAGGTAGAAAGCCGGATGCACTAGAAACTGCTTGAATGCTGCTTAGTGCTTGTGTGGATCGGGAATAAGTCTCCCCCGACCCGTCCGGAAAACTGACCAATCTGTGGTTCTCTTGGACCTGAGATCCCACTGCAGGCGATCAAGAGATAATATGCCAGACGTCGTCCTGCGGGAGAAAGCAACTCTGCTTGTGGCCTGGTCTAGATGTGTCTCACAACCTCCTTCTCTTAAACACGCAGCCCTCCAGGTGGGCCACTCAGAAGCACCTGCTCCCGGGCTCCCTCCTGCTTCCCCGGGCGGCTTCGTGCTGCCTTAGAGGAAATGTCCCGCTCCTAAGGCTAGTTCACTCTCCAAGTGGCCGCAACAGCAAAAAACAAAAAACAACAAACAAACAAACAAACAAACAAAAAAGACAGTAAGGGAAAGATCTGGTAATTAAATTGAGTGCCCAAATGGAATGAACTTTTCTAACAGGACTGCCTGGCCCTGGATCTTCCTGGACAACGTGAGCTTGCGGTTCCCAATGAAACCATCTGGCGCTTGTCCAAGGTCTGGGGACCCTAAGCTGCGGATTTCAGCTTGGCTTGCGTGGATAGGGGGCTTCTGGTGGTGGTGGAGTCCTGAAGGGTGGATTGCCTTCGCGAGGTGAGGAATTGGGGTGCAAATGGTCTAATCCTGTGGCGGCTGCTGGTAGCTCGAAACCTAAACGCAGGGCCGGGAGGGCTTTTGTAGGAAACGAAAGCGAAACAGGGCCAAGTCAAAGGCCTGGCGAGGCAGCAGGCGCGGCCATTCGGCGGGCAAGCCGTGCGGGGCAGAGGATGGCTGCTCCCCGAGGCTTCCCGCTGCTGGTCGAGGGGTCTTGGGGCCCTGACCCCCCGAAGAACTTGAACATCAAGCTGCAGATGTACTTCCAGAGCACGAAGAGATCGGGCGGCGGGGAGTGCGAGGTCCACCCGGAGCCGGGGAGCCCGCCCCGATTCCGGGTGCTCTTCTTCCCCGAGGACGGTGAGGATCTGCCAGGGGGCCCGGGCGAGGAGCCGGGGTGGTCTGGCTCTTCCTCCTGAGGTCGGTGGGGAAGCATCCGCCCGGCTGTCGTGGCTGGGGACGGCGGAACGGGCTTGGAGCTCGGAGCGCGCTGGGTGGGCTCTGCAGCTCCTCTGCGCGCGAGATCCTCCAAGGCGCTTTCCCAGCGCTTCTTGGAGAAGGGGACCCAACCGCCTCCCTCTCCACTCGGGTTTCCCTTTGGCTTTTCCTGTCATTCTCTTTTTGGAGTTGGGGAGAGGAAAGAGGGAGGGGTTGAGAAACTGAGGAATCGCGGGCGTTCCCTCCCAGCTTCCGAAGACTCCCGGTGGCCTTGGGCTTGCCTCGGGACAGGGATGGACGTGCTGCTTGAAGTCACAGCGTGTGGCTGTATACACACAGGGAACCCCCTCTCCCCGTGCTCACAGCGAAGCTCATCACCCCTGTGCCCAGGCTCCGGGTGACTGGGTGGGGACTCTGCCTTCCGGGGATCACAGGCAGGTGACGCGGCTCGTCCCCAACGCTGTTCCTTATTGGGAAGCGAGGCAGGAGCCCACCTGCTAGCTCGGGGCCCCTGCCAGGTCTGTAAGGCGAAGCTGGGGAGCACCCTTTCTCCATCCCGGGATGAGCTCCCGGGATGGGGAGCACCCGGAAGAACACCCTTTCTCCATCCCGGGATGAGCTTAGGGAAGACGTTGGCGTGTCGACCCCGCTGGCCTGTGTGTGGGCTTTGGGAAAGCATACGGATCCTGGGAGACTAGGGCGGTCAGAGCAGGCGCAGGGTCCGACAGGGACGCACCAAGCAGAGAGGGAAGCGAAGGACGCCCGGATGAAGGGGAGGAAGGGGGCGGGCCTGGTTCCGGGGACCCCTCAGCCCGTTGTCTCTCCAGGGGTTAATGACCCCGGCGTCAAGGAGAGAAAGTTATTCCCTCCGGGCTCTCCACACACCCCACCCTGCTCTGGGTTTCACTCCTCCTATAGGGATTTTCCAACCTTGATCCCTACTGTCCATATCACCGTGCACTTAGCCCTCGGAGATATGGTTCTGGAGAAGTCCCCGTTATACCACCGGCGCGCGCCCGCACGCACAACCCACCAATCAGGTCATGGCAGAGCGGATTACAGGGTCCTTTCCCGGGAATCAATCCCGGTGATTGTGTGTGCGTTTGGTGGGGGAGGTCAGCACGGTTCAGCGCCCACCACCAGGTGTCCTTGGGGCGCTAGGGAGAGACTGTGTTCATCACTCCAGTGGATCGGAAGGGGGAGAGAATGACAGAAAATATCCACAGTCTAAAACTACAGATGGAAGCTTGACAACAAAACCTTCCTGTTCTACTCCTCTACAGCAGCCAGGTTTTCCCGCCCCTGCTGGGTGTCCCTCCTTCCTCCTTTCCAGCTGCCAGCCACGTTTTCTTCCTCCTCCACCCCACTGGGGGCCTCCAACCTCAGGTTGGTGTCGTCTTACCCACCCCTGCAGGCGCTGGCAAGCTGGAAGCAAGTTATTGTGGTCCGAGTCCTTAGGGGTGGAGACAACCCACTTGGCAGTTTCGGTTTCCCATTATAATCACATTCTCAATCGCAACTCTCCAGGAGTTTGCGCCCTTAACCACGACTCCAGCTGACAGTCCTGGCAGGGCATCCTCTACAGAATTATTGCACAGCTCACGTTCGTGGACTTTTGGCGAGTTGAATGAGCCTGAACTCTGATTTCAAACCGTTTCAGTTTGTGTGCATTTTACACACTGGTCAGAATTTGGCTCTCTGTCACTCCGTCTTGGAGGGACGGAAGTCCTCTTTTGCCAGGAAATATATTTAGTGGCCGTGACTTGAGGCTGCTGTCCGAGGGAGGCGCCCCAGGGCCAAGGCAGGCTGGACACTGGCATTTCCTTCCAGACTTACCTTGCACTTGTTTGGGGAGTCACACTCTGGTGTCACCACCTGTTGCTGCCCTGAGGCTTTGGGTCTGCACTCTCCTGTTGTGATCTGAGACAGGCTGGTCCCGGTTAGATGCCCAAACAGGATGTATTCAACAAAAGGAGCACAGCACAGCTGTGTCCTAGCGAACTCTTGGTGTCCAGGTTCCCTTCTGCTCTCCCACTTCCTTCTAGCTTAGCGCAGCTTTCCAGGAGTCCACACAAGCACCTGCTGCCTTGTAAAGAGGGAAACTGAGACTGCTTGTCCTTCTCGGGTTGGCACCTAGCTAAGACCTCCTCCCCTTGAGTGATTGACATGGGGAAAGTGGTCACACCCCTCTTATGAAGATTCTAAGTTGTGGCCAACCCAATCAGAATCTGGAATGGCAACCCAGTAAGGAGCAGAGTCCCAACCAGGAACAGTAGGCGCTCTCCAAGCTTCCTCTTGACTGATTGGTTGCCCACACACCACTCTCTTCCTTGGAGCCCATTCCCTGCTCTCCAGGATCTGGGATGCACTGATTCTCCTCTGGCCTCTCTGCCAGCACCTTCTTGTAACTTCTGTCTGCATAATCCTTGGAGAGTTACAAAGTTCATTCAGAGACTCCATTCTAAGTGAGTAAGTGAAGACTCAAGAAAAGTATGTGCTGTGTATCTGTGTCCTGGCATGGTGGGTAAAGCTACTGCCTGTAATGCTAGTAACCCATCCAGGCACTGGTTTGAATCCCAGATGCTCTGCATCTGATCCAGTTTCCTGCTAATGTGGGAGACCTGGGAGAAGCTCCTGCTCCTGTCTTTTGCCAGGCAGGGGTTGGCTATTTGGGGTGTGAATCAGGGGATGGGTGATTTTTTCTCTCTTTCTTCCCTCCCTTTCTCTCTTATTCTGTAATTCTGACTTTCAGATAAACAAAAAAAAATTTTTTTAATATATCTTCATAGTCATCAACTCTGTGGTGAAGTCGGAATGTTAATCCTTGTCTTTAGACTTTTACATCCATTGTTCATTTTTTTCCCTTCTTTTTTCCCTTCCTTCCTGTCTTTCTCTTTCTTCATTTTTATTTTTAAAATTTTTGCTCATCTTTTTTTTCTGTTCTATTTACCTTCAGAAATGAGTCTCTTTTAATGACAGAATAAGGCTTAAAGCAACGTTCTTTCTTTATGAGCTATATAGCTTTTCTACATATTTATTCTATTTATTTGAAGGCAGAGTTACAGAGAGGTAGAGGCAGAGAGAGAGAATCCTCCATCTGCTGGTTCACTGTCCATGTGGCCGCAAAGGCTCAAGCTGAACTGATCTGTGAGGTTCAGGAATGTCTTTCAGCTTTCCCACATGGGTGCAGAAGTCCAAGTGTTTGGGCCATCTCCTGCAGCTTTTCCAGGCCATAAGCAGGTTGCTGTATTGGAAGCGGAGTGGTTGGGACTGGTGCCCATCTGGGATTCTGATGTTGCAGGTGGGAGCTTAACCCACTACACCCAGAACAGTTTTCTGACTTGGCTCATGCTGCTTGTGCTTACCTGTGTCACTTCACTAAACCATGACTCTGATCATGCCAGGGCCTGGCACACAGTCTTCACAGGCTCTTCATAGGGGATGCTTTAACTTGTTCTGCTCATTGTGGAATAAATGTTGCTACCTCTTGGGTAGCTATGTTTGGCTTAACTGTTAAGATGTTACACTGGGGGCAAGAGCATCTTGTATCAGAGTCTCTGATGTGGGTCCCAGCTCCTTCAGTACTGATCCAGCTTCTTGCTGATAATGCTCATGGGAAGGGGAGCAGTAGGTGATACCTCAAATACTTGAGCTCCTGCCACCCATGTGGGAGACCCAGATGGAGTCCCAAGCTCCTGGATTCAGCCTGGTCCAAGCTCTAAATGATATGAGCATTTGAGAAGTGAAACAGTGGAGGGAAGATCTCTGTTTCTCTGCCTTTTGAGTGAAATTAAAAATCTAAAAATTACTGCCACCTTATTTACCAAATGTAGGTACCATGCTGTTTGTTTTATTTTATTTTGTTTTGTGTTGTTTTACCGTGTTTCTTCAGTTTAATGTATGTAACACTCACATGAGACAATCCCCATTGGTATCATTAACAGACAAGAAAACTGTGACTTTGTACATCAGGATCATTGAGAATATGCCCAATATTAAAATAATTAGTTTGAGGATGGAATCCAGGGACCAGCACTGTGGTGTAGTGGGTTAAGCTAGTATGTGCAGTGCAGAATACAATGTGGGCCCTGATTTGAGTCCTGGCTGCTCCACTTCCAATCCAGCCCTGTGTTAATACACCTGGGAAAGCAAGGGGAAAAGACTTAAGTCCTTTGGCTCCTGCACCCACACTGGAGGGAAGATTCTTTCTCTCCCTCTTTCAAGTAAGAAAGAGAGAGAGAGAAAAAAAGACGGAATCCAAAGCTGTGCTTACTTTCTAAGCTTTGTATGTTTCCTCTATACATAGCTTAGCTTGAGAAACTGACCAAGCCATTGATTGATCGTGATAAGCATATAATTAACCATGGGTAATTTTTCAAAAAGAATATTTGTTATTTGAAATTCAGAATTACAGAAGGAAGGGGGATAGAGAGAGAGAGAGAGAGAGATCTTTCATTTGCTGGTTCACTTCTCAAATGGCTGCAACAGCCAAAGCTGGATCTGTCAGAAACCAGGAACAAGGAGCTTCTTCCAGGACTCCCACAAGGTGCAGGGGCCCAAGGGTTGGGCCGTCCTCCACTGATTTCTCCAGCCACAAATAGAATGTTAAATCTGAAGTGGAGCAACTGGGACACAAACCAATGTCTACATGGGGTGCTGTGGAGCCTTAGCTAGCTATGCTATAGCACTTGCCTCAAACAAAGAGTAATATTGTAAGTAAAAATTGCTGACAAATAGACTTTTCTTTTTTCCAGTTCGGCAGAGGGTTCTGGAGAGACAGATTCATGAGTTAACATGGCCAGGACAAGGACCATTCCAGCTAACACTCTCCTTGCCTGAGGAGAAGCTCCATAATGGCTCTGAAAAGAAGATTCCAACAAAGGTAAGAAAGCTTGAGAAATGATGGAATGACTGTGGGGTGTTCTTATCAGGTGTGTGCTATAGGAAGTAGGCCCTGACCTCTTTGCATCATGAAGAATAAAGGGACCTTGGAGAAGCTCATGGAAAATGTGTCCATAAAAAGATGATGTATGGACTTCAATTTTTTGGTATCAAAATACACTTGTACAAACTTGTTACAACATGTTTGAATAGGATGTAGTGTAAGGAACTAAGAAGAGTAAGACACTGTTTTGAAGAGTTGAAATTGAAGCAAAAACAAACTTCAAATTTATGGTAAAGCTTGGGTGGAAGAATACTGGATATTTTGCAGGGGCGATGCCATGAAGGAACCAGCAGTATGCAAATGGATAATTCATTTGAACAAAAAGGCAAGATGATGTTGAAGATGAAGCCACAGAGAGAGACCATCCACCTGCATCTGCAAGGAAAGAAAATGAATCTTGTTTAAATCTGAATTGCACAAGACCCGTGATGGACAGCAGAAACTACAGCCTATGCCACAGGCCTGGCAACTGCAACATTAGGGTGCAGCAAACTTCCTGCATGATGGTGCCCAAATCCTTGCCCTCTAATCAACCGCAGACAGGTGCAGAAGTTTCAGTAACAACTTTCACCATGTGGGACCTCCATCCTGAAACATCGCTTCCAGAAAGTATCATGGGAAATGAAACATGGCACAACCAGCATGACCCTGAAGACCAAGCATGACCAGAGCCATGGCTACTGAGAAGTAGGAGTGGCCCAGGCAACGCCAAGGTGGGCCAGTGACAGGCCAAGGGCACAGCGGCGGTTTTGTGCGGGTGCTCAAGGCCTGTTGCTCATTGATGTCACTGGAAGCCTCGGCACAGCGACACCTGCAACCCTGGGCGTGAGAGCTGCAACGAAGGCTGGTACGCGTTCACCCTGTGGCCTTGATTGGGCTCTTCTGGACTGTTGGCTTGTTTCCTGATCTGAGAAACTGTTTAAGGGTGCCCATTTTTCTTTAAAGATGTGAGACAACATTGACCTGGTTAAGTTCCCAAGATCATTAGCTCATTAGAAATGGATGAAATGACTTGTCATCATTACTTTCGAAAAATATTAGGAATTTGGTGGAACAGAGGTTGAGAAGTGAAATATTGATATATAAAGAAGTTGGGGCCGACGTGATAGCCTAACAGCTAAATCCTTGCCTTGCAACCTCTGGAATTCCATATGGGCGCCAGTATGTATCCTGGCTGCTTCACTTCCCATCCAGCTCCCTGCTTGTGGCCTGGAAAAGCAGTAGAGGACAGCTCAAAGCCTTGGGTCACTGCAACTGCATGGGAGACTCAGAAGAAGCTCCTGGCTCCTGGCTTCAGATGGGCTCAGCTCCAGCCACTGCGGCCATTTGGAGAGTGATCCAGCGGACGGAAGATGTTTCTCACTGTCTGTTCTTCTCTCTGTAAATCTGCTTTTCCAATAAAAAATGGAAATAAATATTTTTTTAAAGTAGTAAAGTATATGTATAATAAAGTTTTTATTTTTATTTTTTGCCATGAGTTCCGTGCATTTAAAGTTAAGGAGATGATGAGAGCTATAAATTCAACTGGAGTGATAAAAGCAGCTTACAAATGTGGGGGAAGCAAGGGTGTTGTTAGGGAAGTGAGGAATAATGAAGGAGATGGTGCATTTTGTATGATTTTAGTCAGTTTTGGGCAAGTCAAGATTATGAGATCACAACGCTGATGGTTTAGGATATAACATTTTGGATCTGCTTGTCCTGGTTTTTTGTAAACGGAAACTTTTTTTGCATCGGTGTGAGAGGACAGCCATCATCAAACACAAACTGAGTGGCCCCTCAACCGTAAAACGGGCTGGTGATAGCATCTGCTGTTTGGAGTGACGGTGTAGTGTGAGACTTGCATGAGATGAGCTTCGTAAAGCACATGTCACCGTGCTTGTTACACAGTGAACTCACAATTAAATACTAAATAGGGGAAAAGGAATGACTTAAATTACTGATTTTCTCTGGGTCTTTATCTTCGAGGATTCTGTTGTTTAAAACAGAGTTACACAGAAAGAGAGAGAGTTCTTTCAACTGCTAGTTCACTCCCCAAGTGGTTGCAGTGGCAGAAGCTGGATCTGTCTGAAGCTGGGAACCAGGAGTTTCCTCCGGGTCTCCCAGGTGGGCACAGGGGACCCAAGGACTTGGGTCATGTCCCTCTGGTTTCCCAAATCACAAGCAGGGAGCTGGACGGGAAATGGAGCACTCAGGACATGAACTGGCATCCATGTGGCATGCCACAACCATAGGCGAGGATTAGCTTGTTGAACCATGCCGTCAGCCTCAGCTGGTGATTTTTGTTAACAGCAGTTCATATATCACTGAGTTTGGCCCCAGATGCATTCAGGAGGACTATTGCCAGAGTTTTTCATCAACATCCTTTTTTTTTTTTTTACCCTGAATCTTCAAGTTTGTCCCAGGGATATTTTCAAATTGTAGAGAAATTGTTTATAATGTATTAATACTACATTATTGTTTGGGTTTCAGGATTCCAATTCCAAAGAAGCCGCCCAAGGACCAGGTAAATTGACAGTATCAGAATGGCTGGATTCAATGCCCCCCTCTAGCCCCTCTCTAGCCACTTGCTAGTGTGGATTCCCGTAGGCTTCAGGGATGGATGAAGTAGTTGGCCTTTATTCGCCCACTTGCGAGACCTGGACTGAGTTCCAGCTGCCAGCTTCTGCCAGGCCCAGCATGGTCTGTGTCAGCACCCCACCTTCACTGCAACTGCCTGCTTTTTGCCTCTCAAGTGAATACATAGTGGTTTTTTTAAAAGGAAAATCTTTTAAGTTTCTTATCTACTGTTTTTGTATTGATACCTCTCCACTGACTGAGCCTCAGCTCTGTACCACGTAGCTGCAATGCAAGGATTCATAAATAAGCATCTTGCTTTGGCGACGTTTAGTTCCATAATTATGCTACAGTGCTTTGATAGAAATGCAAGAAGCCTTCAAAGGATTTGTGAAAAATATGTATTATGAAAGAAACTATGCATGCACTTCAAATTTCTTTACATAGAAAAAAAGCCTTACCTCTTCACTCAGTTTTATCACACGCTTTTTTGAAGTATCCTTTCATTTGGCAAGTACTAGGAAAGATAAAACAGATTCTTCAGAGACAAGAACCAGAAAGAGGTAATCAAATTGTACTCATAATAATAATAACCAAGGAGAATTAGTGTTAATTTTATTTTTGGTTAAATAAAGCAACAAAAGCTATTGAAGGTCTGTTTTTATTTAAGTTAGCCAAGAGACTGGGAAAGAAAGGGGGGCACGTTTCCTGACAGCTGGCTTTGCTAAGACTATGGAAGACAAGTAAAACAGCTTGTACCATTTTTTAATCTCCCCAAAAATTAGATGTTTCAGAGGAACTTGATTCTCCCACTGAAAGATCAGGAAACTTCCAGAAAGAACATGAAAATGTTTCCTCTTTGGTGGCATTTGAAAATCTCAAGGCAAATGTTTCTGATGTGATGATAACCTTATTAGTGGAGAATGTAAGTGGCCTGAGCAGTGATGACTTCCAAGTGGAGATAATACGGGATTCTGATGTCGCTGTGGTAACCTTCCTGAAACATATAGGTAAGACCCAATGATACTCCATTTGCCAAGTTTCCTTGCACAACACCTTGAGAATTCTGGGTGCCTGGTTAATGGAATAGCTCTAAAAGTTGGACTCTTTACCAGTTAGTGAGAGGAGATTCCAAGTCAATACGTAGGTATATTCTTATTTTGAAAGAAAAGCAATTTAGTGATGAAATTGCTTTCTGGGATTTTTAATATGGATTTAACTTGATTGCCCAAGTTCTCTCTCTCTCTCTTTCTCACTCTCTTTCACACAGAGAGAGAGAGAGAGAGAGAGAGAAGGGAAGAACAACAACCAAACTGGAACTCTAAACTCAGGGTTTTTGCATGTGTATCTTACTGGGAGACATAAATGTTGATCTCTATCATCCTACTGGACTAGGAAGGTAGTAATGCTAACCCACACTTATGTAACACTCACTATAGGTATTAATTTAGTTGTCCCTTTAACAACTTTATTTTACCCTCTTCCCCCATGTTACAGTTGGAGAGAAAGGCACAAAGGTACTGATAAAGAGCCACATGTGAAGCAGGCAGTTTATCTGCAAAACTTGTTCACATAACCACATCATGATATGTTTCCCTACTACCGTCATGGTCACTCATACAGGCAACGGGGTGTATGTGATACAGAAAACCAAGTCTTCGCTGAGGTCATGCAAGAGCCATTTCCATGCAAAGCAAGACAGTTTTTAAAATATTTTTTGCAAGTTTTTATTTTTATATTTATTTTTATTGGAAAGTCAGATTTACAGAGAGAAGGAGAGACAAAGATCTTCCATCTGCTGGTTCATTCCCCAAGTGGCCACAATGGCCAGAGTTGAGCCCATCTGAAGCCAAGAGCAAGGAGCTTCTTCCAGGTCTCCCACACAGGTACAGGGTCCGTAAGGCTTTGGGCCATCCTCTACTGCTTTCCCAGGCCACAAACAGGGAGCTGGATGGGAAATGGAACAGCTGGGACACAAACCTGCACATATATGGGATCCTGGTGTGTGCAAGGCAAGGATTTAGCCATTAGGCTGTCATGCCAGGCCCCAAAACAAGGCAATTTTCCCATTTCTATCTTTTTCCTGTTCTTTGGCCATGGCAGTGGAGTGGCTAATTAAGAGCACATGTCATGCATGTAGTCAAAGTTCTAGCTCTGCCATTCAATCAGTGATCTGAAATTGGCCAAGTTACTATCCTTTCTGTGTTTCACCTTCCTCATCAATAAAATTGGTGATAATAATACCTACCTAATACAGTTTCTATAAAGATTAAATGAGATGATGTTTGGAAAGCACTTCACACAGTACTTGAGACAAGGATAAGTCAGTAAAGAGCATAGTTCTCATGTTTTATATATAGGAAACATAACATAAACTTGCTTTTGTCCATTTGCCAAAAATCATGACTACCTACTATGTACCAGGCATTGGTCTTGGTGCTTCAGGCACCCAGAGCTATGAATCATGGGTCCTGCTCTTGAAGACCTCATCATGGCAGGGCAAGGAGAAAGCCCAAACAAATGAATGCAAGAGGAGAAGCGCCTTTCTCAGTCTTGAACAACAGCCTGTAGGAATGGCAGGGATGAAAGCTCAAGGCAGGGGCTTTAGTCTTCTCGCTTTTTGAGTTCAGTATTCAGTACCCTGCAATCAGGTCCAAAATGCATACTGCTTTTTCAGGCCACTGATGTTCCTCTGCCTGCCACATCTCTTGCCCTTATCCATCTGCTAAATGCCTCTCCATCCCTCAAAACCCAAATCACAGTCCCTTCACTCCTAGAATCCTTGTGTGTTTCCCAGTGTTACTCCTCCCACCTTGTATGATCGTGCAAGAGGTGACCTATTTATTTGTGTCTGCCTCCTGCTGATGAACTGACAAGGACCTGTTATATTAGCCTTTGTCCCTAGACCCCAGCTTGGTCCCTGGTCCATCACGTGCCCACCATGGACATGTACTAGTTTGACAGTGATGGCTGAGATCTAAAGGATGAATAGGAACAAGATTAAACAAAAATAGGGAAGAGCATTCCAGGCATGAGAAATAGGATATACAAAGGCAAAGAAATTTCTAAAAAATAATGACTAGGTTTTTTTTTTTTTTCAAAATCTGGAAAGTAAAATGAAGGAATGACAGGGAGTAGGCAAAAGTGGTGATTGGATGATAATTGATATCAAATCCTTCTAAGTCTGTATGAAGATTGTCAACTCAGGTGCAGACTGGGGAGCCATTGATGGGCCTGAGAAAGGGGTGGAATGAGGTGACCGCTGCCCAGCAGTTACTCAGGAGGATTGGCAGGGCTGTCTAGAGACAGGTGCCCCTTCATGGTAGAAATGCAGGAGGGACACTTTTATGCCCATCACTGCTTGTGTGGGTGTCTAACAGTGGAGTGTGAGCTTTCATCGGTACTGCAATCCACAGTTTCTTGTGAGATGTTAGTCATCACATTCTGTTTTGTGTTTTGTTTTTATTTTGTCTGTCTCTAGATGCCAAGAAGTTCGTGGACGATTGTTCCAGGTACCAGACAGTCAAACAGCTTGAACTTTCTCCAAGACTTCTGGAAGCAACAACAACCATCAGGGTTGAAAACTTGCCACCTGGTGTTGATGAAGACAGTTTAAAACATTTCTTTGAAAATCCTTTTAATGGAGGGGGGAGAGTTGACAATATTGAATGTTTTCCTGAAGAGAGTTCAGCTCTGATTAAGTTTTCTGACCGAAAAGGTAATATCTGTCAGCATACCCATAGCTTACTTGACATAAGCTAGTTCATGTTTAGCAGATTTTACCAGTTAAATTCCAGTGAATTTAATTTTAAGTCATATGTTTGGTAGAAAATTGAATTAATAATCTTGGGATATGATGCTTAATAAGGCCAGCAGTTCAAACTTTGGGAAAGCAATGTTAGACTTTTGAAAAGATACAAGATTGTCTTGTAAATCTCAGTGTGAAAGAAACTGAAAGCTACCTTCCTGGAATCTTGAAATCATATGTAAAGAATGACATGGTCTCTGTGTTAGCTACATACTTGGGAGACCCTCTCAAATCAGTTTCAGCAAGGTTGGGAAAAGAAATCCTCAGACACACACATCTGTAAAGTGTCTCTCTCCTCGTGCCTATTGGTGCCACCATTCAGAAATTAAAGAGCTTGATTTCACATGCTCATGGATGCCTGTTGGCTCTGGATTTGGCCAAACCTAGGGAAACATTTGTGAAGGACTTATAGATATGCTGATTCTATGAGACATGTACAAAGTCAGCAGATTCAGAACTAGAGCACCGTGGACTTGACTTGGCACTCTGATAAGAGATACTGATGTTGCAAGCCTCAGCTTAACCTGAGGTGCCACAATGCCAGTTCCCACGTCAAGCAGTGACTTAACCACTGTGTCAAACCCTAGACTCCTCCTTTTCATAGTTATAACTTAATATTTTTCATAGCTGCAGAGTGTTATAAACATTCTTAGATGCTGTCTTCTTGGTATTTGATTATTATGATCTTTGTTTTACAAGTGAAGATATAGGAATATCAAATAACTTGCCCAAGATTCCATAACTTGTGACAGAGACAAAACTAGAATTTTTTAAAAAAATTTATTTATTTTTGTTGCAAAGTCAGATATATATATAAAGAGAGGAGTACAGACAGAGAGGAACATCTTCTGTCCACTGATTCACTCTCCAAGTGACTGCAGTGGCTGGAGTTGTGCCGATCCAGAAGCCAGGAGCCAGGAGCCTCTTCTGAGTCTCCCACACGGATGCAGGGTCCCAAGGCTTTGGGCTGTCCTCGACTGCTTTCCCAGACCACAAGCAGGGAGCTGGATGGGAAGCGGGCCTACCAGGATTAGAACCAGTGCCCATCTGGGATCCCCGCACGTGCAAGGCGAGGACTTTAGCCCCTTAGGCTACTGCATTGGGCCCCAGAATTTGAATTTTGATCATGTGGCCACATGATCTGTTCTCTTTCATTTCTCTACTTCTACCAAATCTCCAATTCACCTATAGCATTTATATTTTCTTATTAATATTTTACCAGTTAAAATGGCTTACCAATAAGAGCTTATCAATATAGCTTGATTAAAAATTTTTTTAGCAATATAAGCATTCTATTTTATGTATTTTTACACTTGATCTTTGCCAAAAGGCCGAGAAGCGATATTTTATGTATTTTCAAAAAAAGATTTATTTATTTTACTTGAAGCCAATTACAAAAAAAGAAGGAGAGTCAGAGAGAAAGCTTGACTCGCCATATGGCCACAATGGAGGGAGCTGGGCCAGTCCAAACCTGGGAGGCAGGAGCTTCTCCCAGGTCTCCCTTGTGGGTGCAGGGGCCCAAGGCCTTGGATCTTCCTCTGCCACCTTCCCTGGCCATCAGCAGGGAGCTGGATCAGAGGTGGAACAGCCAGGACTCAAACCAGCACCCATATTGGATGTCTGTGCCATAGGTAGACAAATTCTCCAGGCCAATTCTCACCAGCCCTAACTATTTTGTTTAAAAAGCAGAAGTTCGGCATTTTCCTCTAAAATAATTTGGCTCAACTTCACAAAATCTGATTTCCTTCTAAATGCCTAACACATGTAAGAGCTTCCATTTTATTTTCTGCCACCGTACTTCACAACCCTCATAGAAACCTGCATGGTTGGATAATTACTTTTTCTTAACAGACAAGGTGACAGGAAGGAGACTTGTAAACACAGGTGACATCTGTCATGGTTCTTGGGTCAGACACACCTGAGCTGGGATCCAGACTTCGGTGCTTACTGAGTTTGTAATCCTGTGCAAGTTTCTTTATCATATCAAAGTTTTCATTTTCTTCTCTGACCAGTAGGACTCACATTACTACCCACATTAGAGGAATGCTTACTGAAATAATACCTGCATGTGCTTGGCATGTGGCAGTGCCTGGTATGTACCAGTGGTCACAGGTCCTGCCCAGGGGCAGAGCCACTGCAAGGCCCTGTCAGGGGAAGTTAGAGCTGTATTCTTGGGCTTCTGAAGACCACATATTTTTATCTTTCCATGAGAGGTGCTACTTTAGTCCAAGTTGTTACTGGAGTTCATTCAAATTCCCTTCCTGTTGGTATCCCTGGTATGCCAAACAACACAAAATGAGGAGGAGCTTGGAGGAGATGAACACAAACACACACACACACACACACACACACACACACACACACACACACACACACACACACGTCTGTCCTAATACAAGTGGCAAGAGGGAGAATGAAGCAGGGCTAGGAGGAGAGAAGGAACTAAAGGGCTCTCACTGGGCCCTACTCAAAGCTAGGAGACAAGAACCCAATCCTGGTCTCCCATGAGGGAGACAGTGATTCAAAACCTTAAACCATCCCCTGCTGCCTGCTAGGAGCTACATTAGCAGGAAACTGGAATTGGGAGTGGAGTCAACACTCCATCTCAGGGACTCTGATATGGGACATGGACAACTTAACTGCTGGGCCACGTGCCTGTACCACTATGAACTTTTTAAAGTACCTTTCTGCATATCAGTTTATATTAAGCATTTTGAAAGCTGTGCTGCTTACTGATAATAAATCATGATATCAAGGTTCTATATACTTTAGAGAAGTTTTGTTTTCATTTGAAACATATCATATCAGGACTCCTTGTTTACTTGGATATTTTTTTCTTTGAAGTGTTTGACACCATCATGAACAAAAGACTGAATTTCCACAAGATGCCTCTGTCTGTGTTCCCATACTATCCCTCTCTGGGCATCGCCTTGTATGGAAATGAAATGCCTTTGGTCAAGCTTCCAGCATCATTCAGAGAGTCCCTGGAGCTTCCCTTATGGAGGTTCTTTCAGAAGAACAGACACCTGATTGAGGAGGTAAACAATAAAATGAGGCAGTGTCACTGTGAGCTCACGTGGTCCCAACCCGATTGTCAAGTCATCATCTGGCCGGCTGCCTCCTTAGTCAATCAAGGCCGAAAGGGTATCAGGAACTGGCAGAAAGATGCCTCCACAGAACTCTCTGGGATCAGGTTGAAATACAAAGTCTCTACTTTTAAAGTAAATCAGCGAGTGTGGGATGCTGTCCCCAAAAATGACTTGAAACACGATAAGATTCTAATTGAGTTTGATGCACTGAAGGAGGTCATCACCTTAGCAGGGAAATTGGAGGATGTCCAAACCATCGAGCCCCAAATTAAGGAATTGGTAGACAACACCATGCAAAAAGTAAAAAGGGAAGAGGAAAAAGTGGAGGAGGCATTGTCCGTTTCTCCAGAAAATTATTTCCTCCTGTGTCACAGCGGCGTGCCGGAGCAGGCGTGTAAGGACTGTCCAGATCTGGAGGTGAGTTATAACAAGAGCCGTCAACAGGTGACCTTGAGAGGACCCCCCGCAGAAGTGTATAAAACCAAGTGTGACTTCCAAGAGAAAGTGTTCTCCATGAGTCATAAAAACATTAAGATTCCTATGGAGATCTTGCATTTTTTGCAACAGGTCGACTACAAAAACTTCTCTAAGTCTCTTTTTGTAGCTCAGAAACTTCTTGCTGTTTATAGACTTGAGGGGACCACTGTTCTGTTAACCGGCAGTTCTTCTCAAGTCCTGTTACAAGCCGAAAAGCATCTGTTCAGTGCTTTGAGTTATAAGTACATTGACCTTGAGAACCAGGAGTTCCTCAAAGACAAGAAATGGCAAGAGTTCACTTGCAATCTGCAGAAGAAACATAATTCCTCCTCATGCACTTTCTTCATCAAGGAGTTCCTGATGGAAACCCCAGCCAAGGTCCTCCTGACAGGCTGTGTGAAAGCAGTCAATGAAATCCACCAGTTGCTTTTAGACTTCCTGGGAAAACACATGAGAATAGAGAGGCTGATTGAAGCAAAGGATTCTTTAGTTATTGACTATATAAGGCTGGAAAAGAAGCCATTGTGGTTGAGGATCAAGAAGGAGAACACAGAAGTCACCTTCCCTTCTGACGCCATGACAAAAGGCATTTTACTAGTTGGCCCGAAGGCCAGAGTGCTGGAGGGAGTGACCAGCATTCAGAAAATTCTGGATTCCATCCATGTGGAAAGTGTGTGCATTGATAAGCCAGGAGCCAGGCAGTTCTTCCAGGACAAGTCACGGTATTGTAAAGGGGAGGTCAAACGGCAGTTTGGTTGTTTCATTGAATTACAGGATGATACAGTCAAGCAGAAGGACTGCACTGTGGGGCAGAAGTGCTACTTCCAGGTGGACCTGGCAGCTGGGGTCACAGTGATCGTGCAGCAGTGTGACTTGTCCCGGCTTCCTGTTGATGTGGCTGTGAATGCAGCGAATGAGAACCTCTGTCACTACGGTGGCCTGGCTGCTGCTATCTCCAAAGCAGCTGGCCCCGAGCTCAAGGCAGACTGTGAGCAGATAATAAAGAAATGTGGCAAGTTGTCACCTGGCAGTGCCGCCATCTCAAAAGCAGGAAAGCTGCCCTGCCGCCACGTCATCCACGCGATTGGACCCCAGTGGAACAAGAATGATGGCCAGAGATGTATGGATCTGTTAAAGAATGCTGTGAAACAAAGTCTCCTTTTGGCAGAAAAACACGGATGCCGATCCATAGCCATCCCTGCTGTTAGTTCCGGGATCTTTGGCTTTCCCATACAGCAGTGCACGGAGACCATTGTGATGGCGATCAAGGAAGACTTCCAATCCAAGCAGCCTGGCGGTACCTTGAAGAAGATTTACCTGGTGGACATAGCCGAGCAGACCGTGCAGGCCTTTGCAGCAGCTGTGAAAACTCTCTTGCCAGGTACACAACCTGGTCCTGCTTCCCCACTCAGTTCAGCCACAGTGATCCAGCCTCAGCAAACATCACAACAACAGCCAATGCTGGTGGCTCCAGGGGGCCTGAGGATCCTGATGGTGACAGGAGAGCTGCAGGATGCTAAGGTGAGCATCTTTACAGATTGCCACCAGGATACTCTGACACCACATACTCTCTGGCCCTCACTGATGGGTAAAGAAAGACTAGGATCAAGGGAGGAGAATCCTATAGCCTTCTGCCATGAAGTGGGTTTCCCTAGATACCTGGGATACTTACCAAGTCGTTTCCTCATAGAGTGATCGATTATTTATAAAAAACTGTAGGTGTATTAAGATCAGACCCTGAGGCTTCCAAGAAATGTCCCTGATGACACTATATTTGTAGCTGGCTCACTGTACTTTCGTGGTGCCTTTCGACCCATCAGATTTGGATCAGTCAGAGGTTAGTTTCTTGTCTGTGGAAACTCAGGGTAAGCAGAGGGCAGGGAGCTTGTTCATGGAGCTGAACCAGGGAGGGTTGGCAGTAGGGTGAGAAGGGAGTGAAGCTGCTGGGGCTTGCATCTGTGTCCAACACCAGCAAAGAAATGCGGTGCAGAGAGGGGAAGAATGGCCTCAGAAGGGTACAAGTGTCAGGTGCCAAGAAGGCAGCTTTTGTAGGCCAGCAGTGTTGGTAGTGAATACATTTTTCAAAAGGCATTTCTAAGCCTTTCCTTTAAGGCTCTAACTCATCAGAACAGTAGCCATCTGTAGCAGGATCTGGACTCTCCTGCTGTGCCAGGTGGTACTTTTTTCATTGGAAGAGGCTTGGGAGTCCTGGGAGAGATCTGGTGGGGAGGCAAAAAGTGATGGGGGCACTGGCCTGAGTACGTGGGGGCTGGAGGAAGGCAGCACCTGTGAATATTTACCAGTCAACAAATAGCCGCCATGTTGCTGTATTGCAATCACAGACATGATTGTACCTGCATGTTCCGGTGAGTCTGCCCTAGCCTTTTGCTCCTGGCCTTAGGAGGGAGGGCCCTGGTTCTGCCCGAGGGTGCCTGGGACACAGACATGTCTATTTGCTCCTCATGCCTCCATTGGGTCCCTTTTCATAAGGAAGGCTAGTGAGCACAATGTACCTAAAGCAAAATGAGCACCTTGAAAGTTTCGATCAAAAGAGCAAAGTCCTAAATTACCAGCACTGGATGGCACTTGTCCTCGTTATCTTTAAAGAAAACACATTTGGACGTGGTCTACATTGCATTAAATGAGAAGAAACCTGTCTTTTTTTTTTTGAATGGTTTCACAAGATATCCCTGAGGATCCATTTGGAGTCCAATGACATAGTAAAAGAGGAAACAATATAGATAGTTTCAGGTTGAATTTACTCCATCTCTAAGCAATTCCTACAGTGCAACTATCATGAGAAAAGCTGAACATTGTGTAACAGTCAATTCTCATTGATGTTTAAGCGGTTTGCTGAGAGAGCATTCATGGGCAAAACGTATACTTCAATGGTTTCTCATGTATTCACAGAGATGTGCAGCCATCACCACAACCTAAGTGTAGAACAGTTCTGTCTCACTCTAAAAAAAAAAAGCCCACTCATCAATCATGCCATCTCCCACCCCACTCCCTAGCTACCAGTCTTCTTTCTGTTTCTGTAGATTTCATCTGCATTAAAAATTTCATGTAAGTGAGCTCATACCATGCATAGTCTTTTATAATGGACTTCTAGCACACATAAGGCTGTTTTTAAGGTTCAATCAAGCTACAGCATGGATTAGAACTCCATTCCCTTTCATGGCTGAGTACTGATCCATCATATGGATTTTCCAAGCCTTGCTCATATACGTTGCTTTTGATGAGCTTCTGGCGTGTGGCTGATATTGATGTGAACATTTGTAGACAAGTTTCTGCAGGAACATCTGTTTTCAGTCCTCGAGGAGTTCTCTTGTGGCTAGGGCACAAGGTAACATCTGTGTCTGGCTGGATCGGGGACTGCTGGACCGTGTGCCCGAGTGGCTGTCCCATTGTATGTTCCTGGCCAACAGCGTTGAGAGTATAAGTTTCCACTGCATCCTCACCAGTACTTGCTATTTTCTGTCTTTCTGATGACAGCCGCCCTCATGAGTATGGAGTGGCATCTTATTGTGGTTCTGATTGGAATCTCTTTAGTGATTAGAAATCTTGATCATCTGTTCATGTGCTTTTAGCTGTATAACCTTTGGGGAGAAACATCTGTTCAGAGCCCTTGCCCACTTTTTAATTTTACTTTTGTATTTTTGAGATAATATATTTTCTAATACACGTGAGAGTCAAAGTCATAATCCTCCATACCTCCATAAATAATTCAACAAATAAAAAATAAAAAGACCATAGTTTAGCAGAAATATAGACAAGGATGAAAAACAGTAATCAAGTGAAAAGGTGCTCATTTCAGTCATATACAGTAAAGTTTACAAGTTAACATCATTAAAGTCATAGTAGTATATCATTCTTTTTCTTTAAGATTTACTTCTTTGAAAGGTAGAAATACAGAAGGAGAGAATTTCCATCTCCTGATTCACTCCCCAAATGGCTGCAACGGCCAGGCGGTGCCAGGCCCTAGCTAGGAGTCTAGTGATTCTTTTGGGTCTCTCACATGGGTGCGAGGACCCAAGAACTTGAGCCATTGTCCGCTGTTTTCCCAGATGCATTACCAGGAAGCTGTATTGGAAGTGGAGCAGCCAAGGCATGAACCGACATCTGTATGGGATGCCAATGGTATAAGCAGAGGCTTAGTCTACTATGCCATGGCACAGCCTTATTTTGTGTACTCTAAAAATGAATTATTTGTCTCTTTACTATTGAGTATTTTTTTTAAAAAAAGATTTGTTTATTTTTATTGGAAAGGTGGATATACAGAGGAGAAGAGACAGAGAGGAAGATCTTCTGTCTGATGGTTCACTCCCCAAGTGACCACAACGGCTGGAACTGAGCCAATCCGAAGCCAGGAACCAGGAGCTCTTCCGGGTATTCCACATGGGTGCAGGGTCCCAAGGCTTTTGGGTGGTCCTCGACTGCTTTCCCAGGCCACAAGCAGGGAGCTGGATGGGAAGTGGGGCCGTCAGGACACGAACTGGCAACCATATGGGATCCCAGTGCATGCAAGGCAAGGACTTTAACCACTACACTATTGCGCCGGGCCCACTACTGAGTATTCTTTATACAATTTGCATATAGACTCCTTGTCAAAAATATGACCTATAAAATTGACTCCTATTCCATGGATTTTCTTCTTTTTTGCTCAAGTTGTTACTTTGATTAAAATGCTTTTTGATTTTAGATTAAAACACTGAGATAGGGCTGGTTCTGTGGCATAGTAGGACAAGCCTCAGCCGGTGGCACCAGCATCCTATATGGGCATTAGTTTGTATCCCAGCTGCTCCACTTCCCATCCAGCTCCTTGCTTATAGCTTAGGAAAACAGCGGAGGATGGCTCCAGTCCTTGGGATCCTGTACATGCATGGGAGACCTGAAAGAAGCTCCTGGCTTCAAGTTGGCTGAGCTCCACTCTTTGTGGCCATTTGGGGAGTTGCATAAAAGTTAGCTCTCCTCTCACTTTCTGTAACTTCACCTTTCCAATTAAAAAAAATGTGTCTTTTAAACAAAATACTGAAGCAGAAGATTTAAAAGCAGATTTCTACTTACAGAGGACTTAAAAAATAATTCCAAAACTTATAGCCAGTGTTGACTGGGTGCTGTGACATGCGGTTTCTCATTCAGTGCCATAAAGTTTTTTCAAGGATTCATCTTCTCATTTCACAGCTGTGCGAATGAGCATTAGAGGGGTTCAGTATACTTGGCCTAGCAATTGGTAGAGCCAGAATTAGAACTTCCTTGGGCACCTTAATCATTATAGTTCAGAATGTGATGAACAGAGCGGTTTCTCTCATTCATAAACCAAAACCTCCTGTGCCCAGCGCAGGCATGCACATGAGCACACATGAGCTCTCTTGTTCTCCCCCCTCTGGCACTGGGCATTGAAATTCCCCTTCCAACTCTTTCCCTCCCATAGATGCGCAGCTTCCACCACCACCACCTCCCATTTCTCAGATCTACTCGGCCCCAAGCATCCTCACAGACCATGAAAAGCTGACTTCTGGAGGGTGTTTTCCACCCCACGCCCTTCCTTTCCTTTTGGCAGCTCTTATTTGCCCTGGCATGCCAATTGCATGAGTATCTAATAACATTTGTTTCCAGGTGGTATTTCAGTTTCTGGCAAACTGATCTTCTTAAGAATTGTTCCCCATTCTTAACCCCATTTTGTGTTTCAGACGGATGCTGTTGTCAACTCCATTCCCTCGAATCTTCTTCTGGGCAGTGGGCCCCTTTCTCGAGCCCTCTTGGAAAGAGCAGGACCAGAGCTCCAGCAGCAATTGAAAGCCACTCAGCTGAAGGAATTTGCCGAAGTGGGTACGGTTCTCCAAACTGATGGGTTCAAACTGCACTGCCGCCACGTGCTGCATGTGGTAGCTCCACACTGGAAAGATGGCAACCCATCTTCGTACAAGGTAGGGCGGTTCATAAATTCTCCAGGAAATTGGGTAACTCTTTGGACTCTTCTGGTTTAACAGGTTGCGTCCTCCCTGTTTCTTTTCTGGAGTAATGTCATATTTTTGCCAGGTTCCATCATTCTGATCATTTCTTTCACCTGTAGCTGATTTCTCCTGATGACTAAGTCATAATGCTCAATAATTATTAGGGGCCAGGGAAGGGCTATTCAAGATTGTATTTCGTTAGTGAGGAAAATGAGGCAAGGGTGTGGTGAATGGAAGAGAATGGAAGATAATGATGGATAGACTTAGTGGTTGCCTTGATTCCTTGTTTTTTTTTTTTTAATATATATGGCTTATTTATTTTACTTGAAAGTCAGCTAGAGAGAGAGAAATATCTTCTAACTGTTGGTTTACTCCTGAAGTGGCGACAACATCCAGAGCTGGGATAGTTTGAAGCTAGGGGATAGAAGCTTCTTCCTGGTCTCTCATGTGGGTACAGGATTTGAGCCATCTTCTGCTACTTTCTCAGCCCATTAGCAGGGAGCTAGGTTGCAAGTGAAGCAGCCCGAAATGAACCTGTGCCCCTAAGGGATGACGGTGCTGCAGGTGGAAGATTGTGGTATGCTGAATCATTGTGCTGGCCCCATTCTCCTGAATTCTTTTTTCTTCTTCTGACTGTTCTTAACCACTGTTGAAAGAAAAAAAATGAGAGAGAGAGAGACAGAGAGAGAGAGAGAAGGGCCATGCCCTATGGCATAGCAAATTAAACTGCCACCTGTACTGCTGGCTTTCCATATGGGCACCAGTTTCACGTCTTGACTGCTTCACTTCTGATTAACTCCCCGCTAATATACTTAGAAAAACACAAGAAAATGATACGAGTGTTTGCCCTGCCACCCATGTGGGAGACCTGGAAGAAGCTCCTGGCTTCAGACTGGCCCAGTGCTGGCTGTTTTAGGAGTGAATAAATGAATGGAAAATCTTTTTCTGTCTCTTCTTCTCTCCCTAACTCAGACTTTTGAGTAGATCATTCAATCTTAGAGAAAGAAAAGAGGGACAAAGGAGGAGAAGTTGCAAAATGTTTGCTCTTTTTGTTCCAGTTCCTGTTTCTAGGCATGATGTTTATGTTTTGCAGACCATGGAAAGCATCATCAGACGCTGCCTGGACATCGCTGAGGACTGTGCCCTCACGTCAATTACCTTTCCTGCCATAGGAACAGGAAACTTGGAGTTTCCTAAAACTGTGTTTGCTAAATTAATCATCTCAGAAGTACTCTCATTCAGTACCCAGAGACAATTGAAAACTTTACAAGAGGTTCACATTATGCTCTACCCAAAGGATCATGAGAACATTGAGGTACACTCTCACTCATTTCTACCTCTGAGAATTGAGATCTAATGTTCTGAAATATCTGGATGTTTCCTACATGTCCAATACAGCAAAGTAAAGGAGTAGTGCAAACAAGTTGTAGCATAACAAATTTCAAGAACAGTTACATATATAAGAAGAAAAAAAATAGCTTCTTTAGGAGCATCTCAAATCACATGGTACAAACATAGACATAATCATATGAACATCCTTGTGGCCATCACTTAACAGTTATTAATCTAAGGGCAATAATTTAGTCTTTAACCTCTATTTGTTTTTCACAAATGTACCTTAATGTTCTCACGTTGTTTTGAAACAAGTTTTAGATGTATTATTTCATTCATTTACAATTTGGTGTTTATTTTTAAAACACAAGTATTTTTTTTTAAATAATATAGCCACAATATTACATCACATCTAAAAGAATTGACAATAATTCCTTTGTTTTGTCAGTTATCATGTCAGTGTTCAAATTCTCAACTATTTAATATTTTTACAACATTGTGTTTGAATCCAGACAAGGCTCACAAATTGCAAAGCAGATGACACAGCTGTTAAGATTTACAATTCTCAGGAATTTTGTCCTAACAAGCAGGCATAGTTGTAACCCTTCTAGTAGGAAAATGTTAGAATGTTGTCCAGGGGAAAGGTGTGGTTAGAGTGAGTCAACACATTTCCATACGAGTAGGAGAGTTGGGGCCAGAATTAACAGCCCCACCTTTAGTCTCTGAGTCCATCCATCAGCTCTTGTTTTACTGAACATCAGCATGGAGGAGCAACTGCAGTTGGTGCTATGAGAGAACCAGAGGCATACAAGCATCATCCTGTCCCCCAGGTTTTCACAAGCTAATAGAGTTTGTGACATTTAAGGTTTGAAAGAGTTTATGGTATTGTAAGAATTTAATAAGCAGTATGAAATGTCCATGGATCATTGATCCATGTGACTTTTTAGGCTTCTTGGATCTAGATGCTATCTATGATTTCTTTGAGAGCAAGCAAATCTAGTCTCAACCCTAATCAGGTGGGCAAGGCACCTGCATACAAAATAGATACGTTTGCTTGGCTTGTATAGTTACTGCTAGTTCTACTCAATAAAAGATGTTTTTATTACTTCCCTGTGACATGCACCGTGGGAGGTGATGTGGACCATGGAGCAGGGTATGTAACATGCACTTTTGTAATTACTTTGGGAGCTAAGATTGAAACACAGTTACAGGCATGCGATTTGGAGCATTTTTGAGTAAATGGCTAATGGATAAAGGGTGTGACACTTGTGATGGGGACCCAAAACTTCCGCCTCATGATGTTTGTATCATCCCAACTTCATTCTTTTCCCTGAAGACTCAAAAACTCTACAAGTATTCTGCCAGAAAGATTAGTCTGTGCAGACAAATCCCATGCCATTTGGAGTCCTGTTGATTCTGCAAACATGGCTATTATACTCTAAAAACTATTAGTTCACAAAGATTAGCAAAACTTTCAAACATTTTATTTTGCTAGTGATGAGATTTATATAGTTGACCAGGGTAGGAAGGATCGAGCATCAGGAGATAGTGGGTGAGACTCTTGTTTGCACATTTTCTTCTTCCCATATATGGGGGAGAGGGAGGTACAAGAGGAGAAACCATGCCCAGCTTCCCAACTGACACATTACCCCAGGAACTGGGGAACTGTCATCCGATGTCATCCCAAGTTCCCCATCGTGGAGCATTGGCTGAGAGTTCTGTTCATGTGTTTTTGATAGTTCTGAGATGCTGCTGATATCACCACTCCACGAATGAGAAAATCTTTCTGAGGACAACTGGCCGTCATAGCCTGCCTCTGAGTCCCCACTGACCTAGGAATTGATCAGCAAAACTTTACAACTTGTTTGCAGCTGGAGCTTGGAACAGAGGTTGCAAAACAGCAACAAAACCATTGTCTGTGAATTTACATGTGCTATTTTTGTTCGTTTTTAAATTAGAATTAGTTTTGCTAACATTTAAAAGTTTGCATAGAACTCACCAGATATCCACCGTGACCTAAACATTCAGGTTCTGGCTCATTGTGTGTAGCTTCCTGATTGGCCCCGTTTGCTGTGGCTGAGTGGCAGGTGCTGCTGCTTCAACCCACCTTTGTTCATGTACCTTGCCTGCCTGGCTCCCGGGATCTTGTTGGGTCTCAGGTCCTGGCTCAGGAATCTTTTCTGTCCTTTGACTGTCATTGTATCAGTTGTTTTAGCCAGGATCTTTTTTCCCCCCAGAAAAATTCTCTCGGTTGTTTACAAGGAGGAAGAAAGTAATGATTTTAGATATCTCTGTCTGGCCTACCCCAAAAGAGAATCTAAAAATCTAGAGACTAATTAGTACTGGTATCCACACTCTTGCCTGGTTGGATTTTCTTAAACTTTGATTTCTTTCTCTGTGGTGGATAGTACTCTAATGAATATCCTGGAGTTTCTATCTTTGTCTCGATCATTTTAACAGGGCACATTTGTAGAAACAAAATTATGTTGCAATCGTTTTGTTTCAATAGCTTTGAAATCAAAGAATATGGCTCTTAAGCCGGTTCCTCCTAAATTTGTGTGTGCGTGTGCACAAAGGGTCAAAAGTCCTGATAAAGCAAAGTGTTCTGTCTTCTGAGGATTATAATCATTGGCACTATGTTCCTATCTCCAGGCATTTTCAGATGAGTTTGAGAGAAGAGCGAATGGCAATCCCATCAGTGGCAACTTACCCAAGTCTGCAGATACACAAGGTACTGTAAGAGTTTTGGATGGATAAGTGATTTCTAGTTCTCAGTAGCCATTCAGTAACAGGTTGAAGATGATAGTGATGATTTTTCTTAAAAAACAAATAAAACAAAATAAACAAAAGGAGTGATGAGTAAGAATATGACTTATATGACCTCCATCTATGCATGCAAAACATTGGGTATATGATTTTGAGCAAAAGAAAAATTAGGCCAAATTATATAATTCATACAGTATGTTTTTTAAGTAGTGACATAACTGCTATTTCTAAGGATGATGGACTTGTGTTTTTCAAATAGGCACATTTCGAGAGACAATAGCAGTCAAATACCTGTGTCAAATTTGTTATTGCTGTATGTAAAGTTTATCCTGTCTGGGCTTCAGTGGGGCTTCTGGAAATTAAACATGTATATCTTTTGCCAAATGTGAATCAATCTTTCCCTTTCTTTCTTTCTTTCTTTCTTTCTTTCTTTCTTTCTTTCTTTCTTTCTTTCTTTCTTTCTTTCTTTCTTTCCTTCTTTCTTTCTTTCTTTCCTTCTTTCCTTTTCCCTTTCTTTCTTTCTTTCTTTCTTTCTTTCTTTCTTTCTTTCTTTCTTTCTTTCTTTCTTTCTTTCTTTCTTTCTTTCTTTCTTTCTTTCTTTCTTTTTTTTCTTTCCCTTCCTTCCTTCCTTCCTTCCTTCCTTCCTTCCTTCCTTCCTTCCTTCCTTCCTTCCTTCCTTCCTTCCTTCCTTCCTTCCTTCCTTCCTTCCTTCCTTCCTTCCTTCCTTCCTTCCCTGATCTCTTTCTTCTCTCCTGCTGCTAGATCAATCATGTGAATACCACACCTTTGCTTCATGTCCCACAGCTTTCTGACCAGCTGGTCTCCTCCATCTTCAATCTTCTTTCTATCTGTTCTGCAGATAAGATCATCTTAAGTGCTCTATCTTCGAGCTCAATGATTCTTTTCTCTGTTTATGTGCTATAGAACCCATGTATCTAGTGAGGTTTCTTGTTTTTTTTTTGTTTGTTTGTTTCAGATTTGCATTTCTAAATTCAAAACTGTCTTTTTTATTATCATTTGTATTGATCTCCAAAGGGCTCCTATTTTCGAATTTGTTCCAAAATATTCCATTCAGTTTAACGTGTTTACTCTGATCTCATGGATTGTAGTTATAATAGGTACTTCAATTTTTTTTGTTTTTGTTTTTGTTTTTTTGCCAAGTTCAATGTCTGGATTGCTTAGAAATGGTCACATTTTCCTGGTTTTTCATATGGCAAACAATTTTAGAATACGGTTGGATAATGTCCTGTTAAAATCCTCTAGAGAATGGTGATATTTTTCTTTTTTTTCCATTTGTGACAGGCACCTTTTCCCAGACTCTTCTGGTCAGAAATACAGGAAGTCTGTGGATAGGTTTAGCTTCCCTATCTGACTAATGTGGATTCTGTACATGTTGTCACTTGGGTCAATGCTATGGCTTAAGGAAGAAATACAAAGAGGCTGGCATGGTGACACTGTGGATGAAGGTGTTTCTTGTGACACCAGCATCCCATATGAGATTACCAGTTCAGGTTGTGGCTCTTCCATTTCTGATCCAGCAAAATGAGGAATATCAAGTTTTAATTTCCTTCTCTAGTCTGCCCACATTGCTTTCTTTTCAGTTCTCAGGTCATGATTTTTTGGGTTTGTTTCAAGTTGTTGTTAAGATTTATTTACTTAATTGAAAGGCAGAATTACAGGGAGATAAGGAGAGCAGAGAGAGATGTTTTTTTTTGTCTGCTAGTTCACTCTTCAACTGGCCAAAGCCAGGAACTTCTTTTAAGTCTCTCACATGAGTGGCAGGAGCTCAAAGACTTGGGTCATCCTTTGCTGCTTTCCCAGGCAAATTAGTAGGAATCTGGTTAGAAGTGGAGCAACTGGGACGCAAATCAGCATCCATATGGGATGCTGGTGCTGCAAGTGGTATCTTAAACCACAAAACCCCAGAACTGGTCCCTGTTCCAAGTTTGTAGTTGTATTGAGAGATGAAGCTGGTGGGTTAATTCCTCTTTGGCCAGCATGTATTTGATATGTGACACACTGTCTTAACTTTTATACAGAAGGAGATCATCAGTGAACTTCAGGGTCAGAGGCAGACTAAAGGTTAGAGGTGAGAGAGAAGTGTGTATGGGGAGGGGGAAGGCAAGAGAGAGAGAGAGAGAGAGAGAGAGAGAGAGAGAGAGAGAGAGAGAGAGAGAGAGAGAGAGAGGAAAGAAATATGCAAGGGGCATGCGTGAATAGGTGAAACCTAGAGCATCCTTGCTGCTGTTGACTCGATGGTTGGCTTTTTTTCTGTTCAGGTTTATATGGGAGCATTTCTAGCCCTAATTTAGGAGTGTTTGAGATGAATATTGGCCCTATCACCTTCCAAGTGGCCTCTGGAGATATCACCAAAGAAGTGGCAGATGTGATTGTAAATTCAACATCAAAAACATTTGATCTCAAATCAGGTACTCCACTTGTATAATTTTGACTAGCATAATAATTAATTTAGTAGAGTCTGTGAAGGAGGGTTTCTAGGGCCAAACCTTGATTTTTACATATAATATTGGTTTGAATAATATGATTTAATAATTTCAAATTATTTATTTTGATATTATGATGGTTATTTTGGTTCAATTTTGTTTACATGTTGATTTTCTCATGTAGGAGTCTCCAAAGCAATTTTGGAATGTGCAGGAAAAAATGTGGAAATGGAATGTTCTCTCCAAGGTAAGGCACTATGCTGTCTTTTTGGTTCTGAACTGCAAGTGGAATATTAAAGAAAGCTGTGGAGAGATTGGGAAACAGGACCTGGGGAGACAACACGTTAATATTAAAATCATAGATTTCTCTAAAAAATTCCAATTATGGAGAATTAGAAGTGAAAAGTAATCTCACAGCATAAAAGAGAAGCCCTAAAACTTCATCAAAGATAATGTTTCTTTACTCATTAAATGTTTACTTCATTTGCTGTCTAAAGTTGGGTTCAACAACTAATTTTGCATCTTTCTGTGTGTGTCTCCCAGCTCAGCAGAGCAAACAAAAGTACATAGTCACTCAAGGTGGGTTACTGATGTGCAAGAATATCATTCATGTTGTTGGCGGAAATGATGTCAAGGAATCGATGTTCAATATTTTGGAAGAGTGTGAAAAAAGGAATTATTCATCCGTTTGCCTCCCAGCCATTGGGACAGGTTTGTAGTTTCTGACTGTCAGGGCGGAGGTCAAAGGTACCCACTTGCCCTTGGATTTGGTGCTGAGGGTTCCTAAGGGGTGTGACAGTTCACCTAGGCATGGACAGCTCCCTCATCACAATTAGCCCCAAGGGAATGAACAGGACCTGAGGATGGTTTAAGCAGGCAAAAACAGATGAAGAAAATGAGAGGGTTGAGATGGAAAGAAGGGAGAGGAAGGTAGATGATGTGAAAGGAAAGGAAGTCACAGCTCATTTTCGCTTCTCCTTTGGTTTCATGCCTTGATTAAATAATCCTTAACTTTTCTGTTATATCCCCTCTGTGAAATTTCAGCACATTGCCTTCCTTGTAGCAGATACCCACATGAGCATTTTCAGTTTCAAGTTTGTAGTTGGCTGTGTCCATTGGCCTTATGGCATATCTATGTAGAAACCTCTGTTACCAGTACCTATAAGTCAGAAACTCAGATTTTCAACAAGTTTAACCATCTTCAAACTTTATAATGGTTGTGTATGTCTCCAAATCTAAGGATGATACTTTTAGGTTTATCATTATAGTTGGGAGATGCATGTTGAGCCCTTTCCCCAGGAATGAGAATTATGGGCACGGACTGGGAATTTCAGTCTGATCTCCCACTGGAAAGATGGTCAGGCTGGAAGTAGGATGAAACTGACTGGTTCAAGTGGGAGGATACTTAGCACTGGATCCGTCATTTAGTGACTCAGAAATCTGAGTCTTAATTCAACATTCTAGGCTCTTCAGAAGATTAGCCCTAATAATGTAACCATTCCTGTCACTTTATGGGCTTTTTCTCCTATTCTGACCCGTAGCTTGCTGAATTTAGTTCTCTCCTATTCTTCCCAGTGTTCCTAGATAAAATTCTATGTTGACTTATTTTCTATCTCTAGAAGTATAATTTATGGTTCCTGTATCTTTCCATTCCCTTTCCATTACCCATTCCTAAAGATTGCCAATATTCATCTGTCTCTGTCATCTCTCATTTTTGTCTATGTAGCTCATCTTTTAGAGACACTCACCAATGATGTCCCAGTCTCTGCCTCCATTTGTTTTTTTTCCCCTCTGAATGCTAGTTTTATGCTGCACCTGAACTAATTTGGGCCAAGAAAGCAGGACCCCAGGGGGTGGCTCAGACCTTCCCAAGGGAGTCCTTAAATGGAGTCAAAATAACAAGCAGGAAGTGAGGGAGTTTTAATTTTGTAGATATGTACCTATGTTTGAGTATTATTGGTGAATTACTGCCAACTTGCTGATTGTTGCACAGCTCTGGTTGCATTGCTGTATGTACAAATAAATCAGGGTAGCATAGCAGACTGTCCTTGCTCGCCCTCTTTATCAGTCTTTAGCATCACTGGAGCTGGTGATTAGGCCAGCAGATGGAAAGACATTCCTTCCTCAGCAGTATTAATGAGCTGAGCTGGGAGTGTGATTACGCAGCACCTGACTAACCACACTAAACCTCAGTGCACACTCCAAACTCCCATTCGTTGTCTTCCCTGATCTCCCAAAACTGCCCTTCCTCTTGAGTTTCCAAGTGAGAAACATCACTTCCCATTTAAAATCTTTGACTCTATCCTATCACTATTTTACCATCCCTATGTTCATTGGTTTATTAATTAGTTTGATTAAATATTTGATGGGTGACTATGTGTCAGACACTTGGCTTAGTCACAAGGAGATAGAACCGTGACTAAGACAAAGCTCCAGGAGCCAGCAAAGTGGAACATTGGGTTAAGTGGACACCTGTGAAGCCAGCATCCCACATGGGCACCGGTTCAAGTCCCAGCTGTTCCACTTGCAATTCAGCTCTCTGCTAATGTGCCTGAGAAAGTATATAGGAGACCCAGATGAAGCTCCTGGCTTCCATCTGGTCAGCCTGAGGCCATTGCAAGCATTTGGAAAATGAACCAGTGAGTGGAAGAACTCTTTTTGTCTCTCTTCCTTTCTTCTTCCCTCTCTCTCTTAAACTCTGCCTTTCAAATACATAAAATAAATTTTCATAGAAAAGAAAATGATCCAGTTCACAATGAGGACTTAGCCTTGCTGGAGAGACGGGCATGTAAAGAGACGACTGCCATGCAACAGAACCCACAATACTGTGAAGGTGCAGAGGAGGCAAGGAGGGAGATGGCAGGGCCAAGGATGAACCTTGACTTGACTTCCTAAATATCCTAAAGTCTTCCTGACTTTACTTCCTGAATATCTGCTCAATATCCATGCTATACTCACATCCTGGTCTCCCTCCCTCCCTTTGTCTGCCTGTTGTCTTTTTTCTGAACTTTTATGAGAGCCTCATTACTAGACCTGGATTCCCCACTCTAGTGTTTTCGTATTTATCTTCTCCAAACAGCTCTGTTTCCCTGCACTTCCAGGCCTCTTCCCTTTACCTTCGTGTCCTATCACACAGTTCTTTCAGGCACAGCCATTCCCTTGGTTCTCCATTTTTCACCTGTTAAACACCTTCTCACCCTCACATTGTCACATCTGTGGGTCCTGATGAGTACCTAGCTGACTACCTAGGCTGTGATGGGACATGGTAGATGTTTAGTAAGAATGGATGACTATATCTGAATGCTTCTATTTAGACTCTTCCAAATACCATTGGAAAAACCATAGCTTTGCCAAGGAGAATTTCCCACTTCACCTGTTGATCTACTTTTAAAAAGTGAACAAATCCTCTCAGCTGATTTCCTATGTGGTTTGTCTATATCCCCACAATTGTTTAGCTAGTCAAGTCAAAGATATCCACTCTAATTTTTGTAATAGCAGTGCATACCATCAATGAGACAATCTAAGTGGGCTCTCAGTCTGTCATATGAGCTTGACTGTTAACATTGGTTACTGGATTATTTTGCCAGCTACCATTTATATGGCCTCTCTTCCATGCTGGAGAGGGACTTCTCATGATCTTACCAAGGCAGTGGCTTTCATGGCTCTAGAAACAGGAGACAGAGCAGCTACAAACAGGAAAGCATCTGCTCTCAGAGGCTCCCTACCATGCAGTGTGGGAGGAAAGGCCTCCGTGGAGAGTCACGAGTGACTGTGTAGCAAGAGCTGGAGAGACAACAAATAACTTATAGCACTGGGTATCTTAAGTGGTTAGCACTCCTAAATGCCTACAACAGCCAGGGTTAGGAGCCAGAAGCTCAAGTATTGTCTCCCAGTGGGGTGATAGGCATCCCACTTACCAGAGCTATCACCTGCTACCCTTCAGAGCACACATCAGCAAGAAGCTGTATCCAAAGCAGAGTTCCCAGTGGTGAAAGGGTGAGGCTGAGGGTGGAGGGGAACATTCCTTCTGTGAGGGTGGAAATCCATAATTTATCCCTGAGCTTTTCCTGTTGGGTCTGTTTTCCTCTTTCCTGTCACTTTGATTGTTTGCCTGTCCAGGAAAGGCCCAGCAAGCCCCAGATGCCGTTTCTGAAGCCATCCTCAACGCTGTGGAGGACTTTGTTCTGAAAGGACTGGCCAAGTCTGTGAAGAAAGTTAAAGTGGTTGTCTTTCTGCCTGAAATCCAGAAGGTGTTTTACGACAGCATGAAAAAGAAGGAAGGCTCTCCGGCTCCTGCCCAGCAGTCTGTGATAACTAAACTTGCAGGTGAGCCGTTGGTTGTCAGGAGATGCCTCCTCTGATACTCATGGGATTAATGCTTGCAAATATCTAATCTTCCTCTTTATTTCAGAATTTTTTGGCTTCTCAAAGAAGCCTCCCAAGAAAGAGAAATGTTTGCTTTTGGAAAAGAAAACAGAATCAACGAATTTTCAGGTGTGTGGTGAAAATGCAAGCGATGTGAAAAATGCTATTTCCTGGCTGCAGAATTTGATTGAACAAGAGCAAGTCCGCCACATCAGTACAGAGGATTGTATCAGAGATTTTGATGAAAAGGAGTATGCAGAATTGAATGAGCTGCAGAAGAAGTTAAATATTACCATTTCCCTGGACCCTAAGATACCTGAAATCCGGGTTTCAGGATTAAGCAGAGATGTAATGCAGGCTAGGGATGCGGTTGAGGGAATGATCAAGAGAGTGAGGTCAGCCAAGGAACAGGATTCCCGGGCAGACTACCTGAGTGGACTCATACAGTGGCAGTACAGTGACCAGAACACTGTCCATCGTTTCGACAAAATGACCAACCTGCAATTGGAAGATGCGAAGAAAGACAAGAAAACCACCATCATTGTCAAAATTAATGGTCGGGATTACACAGTGCACTTGGATAAACTCACCGCGGTAGACAAAAATGGACACACAGTAATGATTGAGCGCCACATAAAACCTGAATGTAAGTGACATTTTCACATTTGTTTGGGTTTGACCCTATTTCAGCAACATCACAAGTAGATAAAATTCAAGTGATCTGAAAGGGAAGAGAGACTAGAACATCGGCTCTCTGAATTTGAAGAGCCTGCAGTAGAACTGGGAAAGCATAGCTTGGGCAGGTGTGCTTGCCAGCTGGAGCCTGATAGCCAATCCTGTGTGCGCTGCCATATCAGCGGTTCCTAAGCCCTCCACAGCCAGATCAGTGGCAGAGGCAATGGTGCCTTCATTCATGGGGAGGGAAAGCCACAAGCTTCACAGAAAAGTGGATCATGATGTTCTACAACCAAAGGGCAAAGGGGGAGAAACCAAGAAGGGATCCTGGTCTGGGAGTAGGCCCTGTCTGTGTGTGACCAAGTGGTGAACCAGGTGGGGGAACCTACAGGAAGCTGTTCTGGCAGGAATGTGACCCAAAAGTCTCCATGCACCGTGCAGAAGCTGTCTGTGGTGGCCCTGAGGAAATGGTAAATCATGTGAGGGAGGGACAGAATTCATGAAGAACACAGTTGTCTTTAAGTCCATCCTGCCACAAACCTATGGGATTGTGCCTAGTGGCGGGGGCGGGGCGGAGCAGAGCCATCAGTACCGCCAGTCACTTAGCAAAACCTACCAGCCTCCCACCCACCAGGCGGAGGCTAGGAAGACATCAGGAAAGAGATCTGGCAGCCCTGGTGATGGCAAAACAAAACAACAAAAACCCATGCCTCAGCCAAACAGCAGTCTGTTTAAAACATCCGAGGGCAATCATTGATGGTTCACTTGTGGCAGATCAGAAGCAAGAGCAAATTCAGCAGAGTGACACTACACCTGCGCCTTTCAGATCTCAGCCAGTCTGGGTCCTCAGCATAGGGACACACAGGCTCCATCCCTCAGAGAGTCTCAGCCCTGGGTCTCACTCTGGAATGTTTTGTTTTTTGTTGAGTAAGCATCCCAGGGGGGTTGTGAAGTAGAGGACCTGGGAGGCACACTGTCCTGGGAAGGCAAGACACTCTGTGGCCACCTGGCACTGGGAGACTGTGAAATAGGACCGGAGATGACTGGGGATGCACAAGCGAGTCCTCATGTGTCTACTTTACAGCTGAGCTTCCTAAACACTGGAGCCCAATGAAGCAGAACTTACTTGTGGTTGAGCTTCCCCAGAATCATGAAGAGTACAACTTAGTGGCAAGGGATTTCAATAATACCTGCTCCCGGTTCACCATATTGAAGGTAAGCACAGCCTCTTGATGCTGGAAATCTGTGGTACCATGGTCCTATATAAATACATTTTCATTTATTTCCTATCACTTTTTTCCCCAGAAACAGAACTTACGAGGTAATTAAGGACTGGTGTTGTGGTACAACAGGCTAGAGTATGGCCTACAGGGCCACATCAGTATAACCAACCTGGACCTTTACTCAAGTCCCGGAACATACTCCAGTGGCCCAAACAACTCTCTGCCTGAGTGTCCATGTCCTAAAATCAATCTCTCTGGGACAACTCCTCATCTCTAAGTAACTCTCCTCCTCCTGCCGTCCCCACTTCTGGCCGTGATTCCATCACTTCCCTAAAGAAGCTGGGGATTCTTTGAGTACCTTCCCTTTATCGGCGAGGGTCTCTGTCAATAAGGTTTGCCTTGCGTACTTTCTCTTACTGTCTGAGCTGCTACCATTCTGCTTATTCATGTAGTTAAACACACACTAATTCAAAAAAACAGTTAAAGTGTGTTACAAAGGTATATATCTATATTACTTTTAGGTGAAAAATAGATGAAGAAACACAGATCAAAAGATAAGGAAGGTATGGATAATAATATAGAGGTATTGCTAACTCACAAAAATAGTGTGAGATTCCAGATAGCTTCTGATTTATTCCTGAGCTATATAGCAGCTTACCCCAAGCAGTAAATGCCTGGCTATAAGACTCACAACATCCATAAATCAGAAATAGTTTTTGAAGAGAACAACAACAATGAGACTGAATCTTGGGGATTTCTCTTGTGCATCAAGTCCTAGAGAATATCCTTAACCTCATTCTCACAATAAGTTCAGTATCAAATATTGTACCTTTTTTTTTCAGTACCAGGGTGGGCATCTGACACAACCACTGAGTCTGTGTGGAGCACCCCATCCCATATCATAGCATGTATGTTCAAGTCTTAGTTACACTCCTGATTCCATCTTGCTGCCGATGTACAAACTGAGATACAGCAGGTGATGCTACGTCCTTGGGTCTCTGCCACCCATGTGGGAGTCCCAGATTGAGTTCCTGGTTTTGTCTTGGCCTAGCTCTGTCTGGGGCAGGTATTTGGGGGTGTGAAGCAGTGGATGGACAACCTCTCTGTCTCTCTCTCATAAATTAATTTGATAAATAATTTTAAAAGATTGATTTGTAAGGCATAGGAGGAGGCACAGAATGAATTCTATCCAATGGTTAACTCCCTTAATATACGGCCATGCCACCCTGATTAAGCTCGATCTCATTTGATCTCAGAAGCTAAGCAGGATTGGACCTGGTTAGTACTTGGGTGAGAGACCAATGGTTGACTTCCCAAATGACTACAACATCAGTGCTAAGCCAGGCTGATGCTAGGAGCCAAGTAGGGACTCTCTCAAGCCAGGACACAAACTGGTGGCCATATGGATTCTGGCTGATGCAAAGCAAGGTTTTAGCCATTAGGCCATCACACTGTGCCTGACCCCCTGCTTCTTAGATGCATTGGTAAGAAGCTGAATCAGCAGCAAAATTGTGAGACTCGAATCAGCACTTCAAGATGGGATGCAGGCATCCCACGTGGCAGCTTAAGATGTTGCACTACAGCTCCCACCCCAATAAAATTGTTCAAAGTCCCTAATGTATAATGGTTGAACGGAACTGGTGCTGGATTGAATGAAAACAATTCTCAGACACGTGTGTGAATCACGTGTGTGTCGCTCCTGGATGCTGAGTTTCATCCCAACAGTCAGTGGCACTCCCCCTGGTGGTAGCCTACCAGCACAGTGTGATGGGATGGGCCTGTTCAGACGGCAGGAATGATTGTCCCAGATGATCAGCAAGGTTCGCAGTGAGCCTGGAGGAGGCCTGCTGTGTGTTGGCTGATTCTGCCCTGAGAAATGCTTTCTACACTCTTTTGCAGTGGAGACCTTTTCCCAAATAAAACATTGTGTGCAATCCAGAGTATGAAGCAAGTAAAAGCAGAGGGAGGCAGCTTTTATGGCTTTTTGCTGGAAGTCTCCAGTCAGGTGAAAACTCCAATAGGAAAGAGCAAGTTGTCTCTCATCTCTCCTAATTGCCATGTCTTATGATGAAGACTGGTGGCATCCGCAAGACTTGTGTTTCAAGTCAACCAACTTCAAATTCTCTTCCTTGGGTTTGGCTGAAGCATTTGAAGGAAAATAGCAGCCAGTAGGACACTGCTAAATAGCTTATCAAATCGGCCTTAGAATAAAAACATTCTCCTAAATTACCAACATGTCACTATTGCATTTTTAAAAAAATAACATTAGGGCCCGGCATGGTGGCGCAGTGGTTAAGGTCCTCGCCTTGCACACCCGGGATACCATATGGGCGCCGGTTCTATCCCGGCAGCCCTGCTTTCCTTCCAGCTCCCTGCCTGTGGCCCGGGAAAGCAGTTGAGGATGGCCCAAAGCTTTGGGACCCTGCACCCGTGTGGGAGACCCGGAAGAGGCTCCTGGCTTCGGATCGGCATAGCATTGGCCGTTGTGCTCACTTGCAGAGTGAATCGTCGGATGGAAGATCTTCCTCTCTGTCTCTCCTCTCTGTATATCTGCCTTTCCAATAAAAAAGTAATAAAAATAAATCTTTAAAAAAAAAGTAACATTAATTCATTATCACACAATATAGATTCGTATTCAAATTTTCCCAATTCTCTCCCCTCCCAAACCCTCCTTGTAAGCCCTGTACCACTTGGTGCTGAGTCCTCATAGTGTATTTGATCATTATCTCTCCATCTTCTCTTCTCACATAAAACAATACTCCTGCATTTAAAAAATATTTTCAAAAAATATTTTTATGACATAGAAGTTATTAAGAATTGTAAGTCAATTATATTGCAGAATGTCCATCTTCTGAATCTGTCATATCTTTTGAAGGATTCTAAGCCTGTTTTCTTATAGATTCCAGAATTATCAGATTCTTCATACCACCATGTAATTTATTCCTGTCTTCTTTATTTCTGGAAAACTGAGAGTTAGGTTGCAAGACTTGGGTCAATTCACATAAATGTTAATTGAAAGAATGATGCATGAGGGCCTGGCATTGTATTGTAGTCACTGACTATCCCCTATGGGCGCTGTTTCAAGTCCCAACTGCTCCACTTCAATGCAGCTCCCTGTTAATGTCCTGAGTGCTTGGGCCATGCACTTGCGTAGGAAAACCAAAAGAAGTTCCTGCCACCTGGCTTCTGCCTGGCCTAGCACTGGTCATTGTGGTTATTCCAGGAGTGAAGGAATGAATCAGTGAATGACAGATTCTCTCACTCTCTGTGCTTACCCTCTCTCTCTGTAGTCATGACTTCATATATACACATACATACACTTTTTTTAAAGAGAGAAAATACTTCTTAAGCAATACATCACATCAGGGACCACATACGGTAATGTTGTCTCACGGTTTTGACCACTAGTTAAGGTGGTGACTTCCATTAGCTCTGGATTGGTATCAGTAGGTAATCTGGCAAGATACTTGTTGCTGTGTCGGGAGCCTGTTCCCCAACAGCCTTCTACCAATTGATTTTAACATTCAGTGGTGACCCTTGTATAACTTTATAATTTCACTGGTAATTGCAAAGTAGTGACTTACTGATGCTGTCATTCTTTCAATCTTTCTATACTTATTGTCTGAAAAGAAAACTTCCTCTTCCCTCCAATTTAAGACAATTTAGCATGCTGTACCTAATTACAGCATTCTTCTCCTGGGTGCACCGCTTCTCCTGCATTTCTGGTGGAGAAGTTGGCTCCCACGACTTTCGATGATCGAGCATTTCTTCACTTGAAGAAACAAGATCTCTAATTTTACCCTGTGCTTTCCTTGGTCCAGGTCTGAAGTCAGACATTTTTTTTTTTCTGAGAAGCCCTAATTATTTTTTAATCATGATTTTAAAATTTATTGATAGAGAGCACGAGCGAGTGCTAGAACAACAGCGCTCTCCTCTACTGCTTCACTCTCCAAATGCCTGAAACCAAAGTGGGAAGCCAGGAATTCAGTCTGGCTCTCCGCTGCGAACTTCAGTGACCCAACTGCTTAAGCCATGACTGCTGCTGTTCAGAGTCTATTGGCTGGGCTGAGGGTGGGCTGAGGGCTGGGCCCCAGGGTGGGCTGTAAGGGTCTTGATGGCCAGGCCAAACTCTCTTGCCCTGCTTTCTTCTAGCAGACAATGGTAGTGGAAAGCCAAGTGTTGTATGCCGAGTGCTTACTGCTACTAAAGTTTTATTCCTTTTACACCTTTTCATGGCTAGAACTAGGAAAATCATGAGCCCAAGTTCATGTTTTCAATTAAAATTTGCTGTGATAGATTTCTCTTAACTTATTTTATAGTTATAGCTCTTTTCCTGTACAATAGAAGATTGGGTCCCCAATAACAGTGCATATTAACTTATTTACATTATCCTATAGTATACATAAAGTTGTTTCCAAATTATGGTATGAAAATCATTAGGTGCATTAAAGTAGCTATGCTGCCTTCTTTGATTATTGTTAGAGATTATATCTGTTTCATTCCTTTCTCTTTTTTAAAGATTTATTTATTTTTGTTGAAAAAGTACATTTTTACAAAGAGGAGAGAGAGAGAGAAAGATCTTCCATCCACTGGTTCACTTCCCAAATGACTGCAATGGCCAGAGCTGAGCCAATCTGAAACCAGGAGCTTTTTCTAGGTCTCCCATGTGGATGCAGGATCCCAAGGCTTTGGCTGTCCTCCACTGCTTTCCCAGACCAAACACAGGGAGCTGGATGGGAAATGGAGTAGCCAGGATAAGAACTGGTGCCCAGTTGGGATGCCTGCACTTATAGGTGAAGGATTAACCAGTTGAGCTATCATGCTGGGCCCTCATTCTTTTACTTTTAACCTTTTATTGTTATATAGTAAAGTTATATACTTAAGGTAGATCTTTTAGTAGTGGTAAGGTTTTGTTTTTCCTCTTTCTTTCATTTGGAGAACATCTGTTTCACTGTACTTGCTATGTGTTTGGGTTTAAGAACAGCATGTTAATCTTTGTTTTTCACTAATTTTTGCTCTTTTCACTCCATTTTTACCTGTTTGTTGGCTCTGCATTTATTACAACTCGTCTATTGGTTACATTGGGATAGTAGAATACAATATGCATCTTGATTTAACTCTAATGTAAACTATCATATTTAGCATATCCCAGGAAATTTTGAATATTTTAAATTCTATTTATCCTTTCTTGACTTCTGCACTTTCAACAGGTATTTTAATTCTGTATATATTAAAATCCTGTTAAGCATGTTATTTACACTGTCGTGTTTATATTTGCCCTTCTCTCTCACTGTTCGTCCGTCTTTGTGTTTCCATGCTTCCCTCAGGGGTTGGTTCCCACCTGGATTTGCCATGTCTTCTAATGATTATCTGGGAGAGAATTCAGTTTTTAAATGTATTTAAAAGTTTATCTTAAAATTTATTTATAGTGCCTTTCAACGTTAGAATTTATCCCATGAGGAATATGGAATCAGGTTATTGTAGTAAAAAATTATTTGAAGTAATTCTTCCCTTCATGTGGTTATTAAATTACAAAAGAATAGGAAGCAACCTTTCAACATTTAGCAAGATTACAAAATTGAAAAGAGATTTGAACTCTAAGGGAAAAATGTTAAAGAATTTTAAAGTGAGTAAAACAAAATTTTCAGTACATGAAGATGAGATGGATATAGGCAGGTTGAATACCAGAAACTTAACTGTAGGTAAAGAATAACAATGGAAAAATAACTTTTAAATCATGAATCAGATTAATAAGATAGATGCTGAAATGAAGACTTGGAGATAGAGGGCGAAATGCATGTTAACTAAAACCAGAAAATCCAGAACTGGGGCAGTGGGAAGCAGGGATATAAAGAACCAGACGAAGGCAGGCCATAGAAGTTACTAGAATGAAAACAAATTCTGACAGTATGGAATGCAGCCCTCTGTCCTCTCAGGACAACCATATGAAACTGTCACTGTTGTTGATTAGGGGGAGATTTACAAGCTTATTTACAATTTAGGATCCCAACAATCTGCACCATGGCCCTGTCATGGTGCAAAGAGTGGAATCAAAGCATGGAGACACCTTTCTGTTGAGATTCATGCCCCAGCTGGATCAGATATCCATTTCCATTGTTAGAACACAGTAAGGTTAACCAATATCCCGGAAAGACTGAGATAAGAGGCGATGGGTAAAATGGGACAAAGACATTGACAGGAGCAGTTATCCGGGAGCATGTATGAAACCTGAGTCACCAAGCTGGGTTGGCAGAGCTCATATAGCAAACATTTAACATTTTAAATATTGCTTCATGCAGTGCATCAAGGATATTAAAGACAGCAAACATTTATTCCAGTGCCTGTTTTCATGAAACATTAAACCTGAAATACGTCTGAATGCAGAAAGCTGCCACCCGACATGGAATTTACTGTTTACTGTCATTTTTTATTTATGAAAAGATAGCAATCCTATTTCCTTTGCTGTATCTTGGCAAGTGCTCTTGGCCCTGGCAGAGTATTTTTCTTTATGAATTTGCAGATTGAGAGGATACAGAATACAGATCTCTGGAACAGCTACCAGGCAAAGAAAAAAATCATGGATGTTAAGAATGGCCAGATGGACAATGAGAAGCGCCTCTTCCATGGGACGGATGTCAACTCCGTGCCGCATGTCAATGCGAATGGCTTTAACCGGAGCTACGCTGGGAAGAACGGTAAGGAAGCAAGGGGTCTGGCTGTTCCCAGGAACAGGAGTCAGCCCAGAGAGTGTGCATTGATTGCATTCTGTGGCTGGTAGGCAGCTGCAGGCCAAGTTCAGGGTCGAGTCACTGTATTTCATCCTCACGGGGACTGACTACGCCTGTGAGTGGAAACACTGAGTTTAAAAATATAAACAGAACTTTTGAAATATTCTTTGAAATATTGGACCAATATACTCAATTGTATACATTCAACTGGAATTCTCTTTCTCTTTCTCTCTCTTTTAAAATTTTTGTCTTACTTTACTTTTATTTTTTGGAATTCTGAGGAATGTTCTTTTCTCTGCACAGCTACGGCATATGGAAAGGGAACCTATTTTGCTGTCAATGCCAACTACTCTGCCCAAGATACATACTCCAGACCAGATGCACAGGGGCAAAAGCACATGTACTACGTGCGAGTACTTACCGGGGTCTCCACCGTTGGACACTCCTCATACCTCGTGCCTCCTCCAAAGAACCCTCAAAATGTCGCTGACCTCTACGATACTGTCACCGATAATGTGGCAAATCCAAGTCTGTATGTGGTGTTTTATGACTACCAGGCATATCCAGAATACCTCATAACATTTAAGCAGTAACATCTTGGAATTCCTTTCTCAAAGACATTATTTGGGCCTGACGAGTTTGCCTGGTGGCTAAATCCTCACCTTGCATGTGGCAGGACCCCATATGGGCACTAGTTTGTGTCCTGGCTGCTCCACTTCCCATCCAGTGCCCTGCTGATGGCCTGCAAAAGCAGCAGAGGCCAACCCAAAGCCTTGGGGTCCTGCACCCACTTGGAGATCTGGAAGAAGCATCTGGCTCCTGGCTTTGGACTGGCTCAGCTCTGGCCATTGTGACCATTTGGGGTGTGAACCAATGGATGGAAGATTTGTCTCTCTGCTTCTCCTTCCCTCTGTAAATCTGCCTTTCAAATAAAAAATAAAGAAATCTTTAAAAAACATCATCATTCACCCACATGTTGTCTAGTTGTCCAACAAGTTTCAGCTCCCCTCCCCTGCTGCTGAGCAGCACTTTCAAAGATTAAAGGATTCTCCTTTGTTCTTTGGTACTGAGATCAGACCTCCCTCAGCTTCTCTGTGAATTTGGATATCAGATGTGTTGGGGATGTTGGCTGTCAGGTCAGGATACCACAGGGCTGGGGGAAGCATAGTGTCACCAAGTGGCTTGCCAACACCTTCACTGTGGCTAAGGAGGAGGTCTAGTGCCCAATGTACAGTGGATGCTCCAGATACGTGTGCTTCCTAAGAATGAAAAGCTGGGGCTGGCGTTGAGGTGTAGCAGGCTTAGCCTCTGTGAAGCCGATATCCCATATGTGCACCATTTCAAGTACCAGCTGCTCCACTGCCGATCTAGCTCCCTGCTGTTGTGCCTGGGAAGCACTTGGAAGGTCCAAGTGCTTGTGGGCCCCTGTGCCCATGTGGAAAACCCAGAGGCAGCTCCTGGTTTCTAACTGGTCCAACTCCTGCCATTGTGACCATTTGTGGAGTGAGCCAGTGGACAGAAGATTTCTCTCCTCTTTCTGTAACTCTGCCTTTCAAATAAAAATAAATCTTTTTTTAGGAAACGAGAAAGCTTAGACCCCTCTCCAGAGCATGACTCATGTCTCCTACCGTGACCGATGACTTGCATGCGGGATGTCTGTGTGCTGGAGCTCTGGGGGTGCAGCATGCTCTTAGCAGCTTGCACCACACAGAGCTGGACTGAGCCTGTGCGCAAGGTGAGGTGTCTCTGGCAGAGCAGTACAGTACACCACCTGCTAGGAAAGCCTTTTTAACGTTGAATCCAAACCATCTTCTTAGGATGTCTGTTCATTGCTCTTCACTCTGCTCCACTGACAATGGAACAGTGCCTGCTACATCTTCAGTGTGAAACCTTCTATCGGGTTAAGAGTAAATGTGCCCTAAGTAGCATATTTTGGCAATGATTGTAAAGGTATCTGTGTACATCACCAAAAGAATTAGGCAATCATTATTGCTCATTTGCTAACACCCAAGTACATTTCAAATGCCAACATTTATCACCTAAATTATAACAGGTAGTGTAACAGGCACATTTATCCGCAGTGTTGGTGCCCATCTCCACCTCACCCCTGCCCCCAGCACACCTGTGAGGTAAGAGTTCGACCTGTATGTTAAAGTGGAGGAAACATGCGCAGAGGAAACCTGCTCGGCTAGCTTGCCTGGGGTTGTACAGACAGAAATGTTCCCAATTGGTGCTGGATTTTGACCCTTGTAAATTAGGGGGCCTATGGCTCTCCCCATTGCTGCCGAGACCTCTCGATTAGCAGCACTGATTCAGGAACACCTCAGTCTGTGAAATGTCCCCATATTGCCAGTTGTTTTTCCTTCTGGCTTTGGTTTCCTTTGCAGTCCCTTCAGTTAAGGTTTTCTGGGCCAAGAAGGCTGACAGAGCCAAGGCAGATGGCTCATACAGACACTAGGGGTCGCAGCTACTGGGAGCAGTATTTGTTGAGGGGACTCAGTCATTACTTTCATTATTAGCACAGGGTCTTGAAATCCCTTTTGCTGTTCTTTCTTGCTTTCTTTTTTAAGTGGATGGGCAAACACTTTTTATTGCTTGGGAATGGTTTCCCAGATGCTGATATTGAGAGTGAGTGTAAGAAAATGAATAGAAAATAACACTTCTCATTTGCTTTTGTTCTCCAGCATGTGTGCTCAACTCAGGGCAAAGTTAAACATCAGAGTGTGTGTTGCAACGAAGAATAATGTTCGGAAATGTTACAGTTATGCTCAGTCTAAAGAAATATGTCAAGCATGTCATTTTCTCCTTTTCAAAATACTTGAGCAATGTCACTTGGTAGACGTTTTTATCATAAAGGGCAAATATGGGGGGAGCTGAACGATAGACACATGCCATTGCTGATAAAAATGAAAAGCAGTCTTGGAAGCTCACAATAAAGCATCCAGCATCAAACTCCTACTGTGCATTTGAAAATCACAGAAAGGGGAACAGGATAGGGATAGTTTAGCAAATCCGAAGGGTAAACTGACCCATGCTGAGCATGGATAGATCTTGGTGGTTTCCTCCAGCACCAGAAAGCCTTCAGTGCCCTTTGCACTGGGGTCATACTGAGGTGTTTGCTGAACCCAAGGTCTTGGTCCCTTTCCAAAGGAGTCAGCCTGTAAGGTGCTGCATGAATGCCCAAGAATTCCAATTTTTACTGGCACGTGAAAAGCTTCTGACAGCCTGGTAGCCAGAGCCACATGAGGACTGTGTGGCTGCCAGGCACCTGGCCTTCGTGGGTCTCTTCCAACAACATCACATGTGACCCTTTGCAATTTCATGGACTTAAAGAGGAATGCAATCAAGGGTGGATTACATTTTTGTTTCAACCAGAAACAAAATTTATCTCAAAACCATTGAGATAAATGGATGTGCATGAGGCTGAGCTTGTATTCTTTAACTCCTTTGGGCCTTGGAAGATCAAAGTATCTCTTCAATGATTGGCTTCCTGTACTCAGGCATGCTGGCCTGGGAAATGCAGGATGAGGCAGGCCCAGCTCCCCTGGCATTGACAGCCTCCTCCTCTTTTTTTCTTAAATTTAATTTTAAAATTTTAGATAGTGTTTACATAGTTGATTAGGGAGGGAAGGATCCATGGTTAGGGACAAGTGGGTATGATCATTGTTTACAAATTTTCTATTTCCTATTCCCGTTTCTGGGGAATGGGGGAGAAAAGGGGAGAAGCTGTACCCAGTCTCCCAACCCTCTAGTACCCAGGGATGGGGAACAACCACCCAGTATCAACCCAGGGTCCCAATGTGGCACATGTTCTGAGGATTCTGCCCAGGTAGATGTGATAGTTCTGAAATGCTGTTGATCTTGTTGATCTATGGATGAGGGTGTTCCAATGTCCACTGGCTAACAACAGTTGACCTCAGAGTCTCCATTTGCTGTCATCATTTGGCTGCGGAAGTTGTCCAATCTATTTTAATCTTCATTCTCTGCTATGGCACCAGATGTCCTCTGCAGGCCTTAATGGGCTACCATATCCTCTATGTGCACCAAGGCCTACCATCTACCACTCCGTCCTCTACACTGAGGATGACCAGTACTCACAGGTGAGCCCATGGACATGGGCCAGGTGACCCAGGCTCCATTGGATCCCCCGTCCCTGAGGCTCATAGACTTAGCATCCATCATACAGGCAGGCCCAAGGACCTGGACCACGTAACCTGAGCCTCACTGGACCCTCCCAGCCCTGAGGCTCATAGATCCAGCACCCACCTTGCAGGTGGACTCAAGAACCCAGAACTCACCAGATCCCTTGCCCCTGGGGCTCAAGGGTCCAACAGCCACCACACAGGCAGGCCCAGTGACCCAGGTCAGGAGACCTGGTACCCGCTAGAAACTCCCCCACCCCTGGGGCTCATGAACCCAGCACCCACCTCAATGACCCAGCCCAAACAATCTAGGCCCTGCCAGATCCTCTACTACTGGGACTCATGTACCCAATACCCACTGTGCAAGTGGGCCCAAGGACTTGGACCAGGTGACTGGGCCCCACTGGAGCTACTGACCTGGGGCTCAAAGACCCAGCACCCACCTTGCAGGCAGCCTCAAGGACCTGAGCCTGGGAACCCAGAACCTGCCAGACCCCTTGTCCCTGGGGCTCAGAGTCCAACACCCATCACATTGGCAGGCCCAAGGACCTGGGTTAGTGTAGGCCCCGGTCTCCCAAGGGTTAACTCCACAGCTTAGCTTGGTTCTCAAGGTGTAATAGGAAGGGCAATCATGGTCTGATACATTTAGCCCCTGGCTTGACTGCAATTTCCCTCCTTCCTGCTTCCCCTTTTTGCACATCCTCGGGGGAGCTTAGGTGTTGCTTAAGCATTGGGAAAGTGCTGGGAGGGGCCAAGTAGACTATATAAGAGCAGTTTGACTTTGAATAAAGGGTTTCACTTCACAAGAATGAGCCTTGGTGTGTTGTGTGTGTTGTCTGTCTTGTCTCATAACCCTAGACCCTCCGCTTGGCTCGGGGTACGCGGTGACACTGGCGTTGTCAACAGGTTAGATGACCCACCAGTCACCCCACCCCTGGGCTCATGGATCCATCATCCACCTTGGAGGCAGGCCGAAACCTGGGCCAGATGACCTGAGTCCTGCTATACTCCTTGCACCCAGGGTTCACGGATCTACTATCCACCATGCAGACGGGCTCAAGGACCTGGACTCAAGGTGACCCAGGCCCCACTGAACCCCCTGGGGCTCATGGATCCAGGACCTACTTCACAAGTGGGCTGAAGGTTCTGGGCCAGATGACCTAGGCTCCACCGGACCCCCACCCACAGGGTTCACAGATCCAGCACCCCAGACTGGCATGGCTCATTTTACCTCAGCATCCACTGGTGGGTGCTACAGCCTGGCTTGGTCCAGCCTGCCCCTAGTTCCAGCTCCTGCTGGCTGGTGCTGCAGCCTAGCCTGGCCCAGCCAGCCCCTGTCCTGGCCCCAGTGTGAACTGACTGGTGTTGCCACCTGACCTGACTATTCCTGCACCCCATTCTGGTTCTCAGATATGCCAGTGGCTATTATGAACTGGCCTGGCCTGGCCCACACGATGCCAGCAGGTACTGTAATGTGGCCTAGTTTGGGCTGTTCTTGTCTTGGGTCTTGTGCTTACCTGCAGGGACTGTGTCCTGACACAAGAGTTTACCAAACTCCTCTATCAGGTCTCCTCCCAGTGGCAGATCTTGTACACACTAGTGGGTCCTTGGAAAAGGTTGACTTTGTCCACCTCTTGTCATAGCAGGAACAGTATTTCTGCCCATCCAGTCCATACCCTATCCAGTTGTTACTACTGGGTGTTACAGCCCAGCCACACCTGGACCATGCCCAGACATGGCTCTCACGTGGTTCAATAGGAGCTGAGATCTATCTCAGTCCATTCTACATTCACCCTGGCTCTCACCAGTACCACTGGGTGCTGGAATCTAGCCCCGTTTGGCACTCCCTAGATCTAGTCCACACCCATGCTGTGGGCAGCTTGTCCCTCTTTCAACAGTTCTGTTTTCTCTCAAGTCCCTCCTTTGCCAAGAGCCAGAATGTCTTGCTGCATCAGAATCTTATCTCCCATCACCAATTATGCTTGCAAATCCATTTACATTCATGTCAACTTTCCTCCAGGTCACTACATGTCAAAGACTGTTGCCTTTAATTGAATGAAAAACTCAGGATGGCTTTCACATTTCTCTGAAGCTACTTCTGTACTATGTCCCACCTATACACAGAGTGAGAAAGTTTTGTGAAATATACTGACCATGATATTTTCTTCTTAAGTTTTATAAAATATTGCTTACATGTGGAATTCACTGGAATTGTTCATATATAACTTAGACTACTTGAGTGTGACTGTGAGTGTTTATTCTTAATCCATTCTATCTCATGCTGACCTCTCTCAGTCAACTGAGCATGTGGCTCAAGAATTGGTTCCAATGTAACAAATAAAACACCTGAAGGAAAAGGTATTCCTATTTTCACTATAGGAATCTGTATACCTCGTAAGAACAGCAGACCCCTTAGTTTTGGATCTAACATCCTCTGCTCCAGTGTGCTTGAAGGAGTATTGATTGCCAGCAAGGTCTCTTTTACTTACCCCTTGCTTGGTTACTATTTAATGAATTCTATCATATACTAGACAATGATTGAGGCTCTGTGAATGCAGCAGTAATAAAAATTCCATATTCACAGAGTTAATGCTCTGGTTGGGAGAGATAGACAATAACCAAATGAATAGGTTAAATATATAATGGTCAGAGCAGGATGGTTCTCTCGGTGGCCCTGGACTGACCCACTTTTCAGGAATCATCATAGATATGCTGGGAATGCAATGTCATGGATTCCATTCCCATCCTCTCAGAGACAGGACGTTCTTCGGGGCTGTAGCCCAGCCTGTCAAGTGGCCCCTTAAGTTCACAACCTGGTTCAGGTTGCTTGTCAGGGTCCCTCATCAAGTAGCATGTATGTTGATGAAGCGCCATCTGCCCTGGGAAGTGTTGGCTTTGGGGATTGAGTGTTACTGTCTCCGCTGCTTTTCTATAGCAACACAGCTGTTTCCTGGATTATTGTGTGTTTGAGTGTCCTGTCTCATGTGAGCGAGCAGCCAGGGCACATGGTGAGAGCCTCAGAAGGGCTCCTTTTAGGGGCTCTCTAGTCCTGGGCCTGCTCCCATCACAGCACCCTCTCTCCTTCCCCCCCATGGCACATGTACTTCCTTTGGATTTATGGAGACCTTCTGTGTGAAGACAGGAGGCTGGCACAAAAAAAAATGAGACCTTATGTATCTTTCCCATTGCATGTCTGTTTAGTGTATGGCTATGCAGAGACCACTAAGCTTTTCTAAGGACTGAATTCCTACACAATCATGGTAATATTTGCTCTCAGATATTCTTACAAATGTAATGAGAACAGGACCAGTTTGACTAAGTGAGGTCTTACCTCACTGTTTCAGAAGTCAGTTTCTTGCAGCCTTTGGCAGTTTCTTTGGTGTTCCTGGCTGACTCAGTTCCTTCCCTAGGGAGGCTGCCTACTGAACCCCTTACACATTTCTACAAATTAGCACACTGCTCTCGGTGAGAGGGGCTTCCTGGGAGGATTCTGCAGGTGTCAGAGGGAGATTACCTCAAATCTAATGGATTCATGAGCCTAGGAACTGAATGTCTGGGGCTTTCTGAGCCATACAGCCTGTGTCACGACTCAACTCTGCAGTGTAATCCCAAAGCCACCATAGACAGCACATGAACAGATGTCCTAGCTCTGTTCCCATAATTCTTCATCTATAAAAACAAGCAGCAGGCTGTTTTTATAGAGGCTGGTCGAGGCTGGCGGTTACTTCTTGCTGGCAACACTTGGGGTTTACGCTTGAGCTGGGCTGAAAGGCTGGAAGTGGGCTGAAAGGCTGGAAGTGGGCTGAAAGGCTGGAAGGCAAAGGCACCGAGGGAAGAAGGCGAGCCAACAAGAAGGCGCCAGCTTGACCCAAGAGCTCAGTGTGTGGGAGCAAGTGGCAGTACACTGGAATTTAATTAGGGAAGAAGTACATTTACAAACAAGTGCAAATTGACCCTTTACTCTCTTTTTTATTTGAAAACCACCCTATTTTTTAAAAAGACATTTAAAAAATATTATTTAAAATGTCATCCAATAGAATCACAAACTTTTCCCTTGTATTAAAAGTTGTGCTACCATTCTGGTTACTTGTGGATTCACTAGGCAGTCCAGCAAGTCATCTGTGGAAATCAGTTTTGGAGAAGGGGTCATAGGACTACTGGAAGCAATTTGGTCCACAGACACATTCTCACTTTGATTCATCATCTGTTCCCTTTTGGTGCAATGCAATTTCCCAGAGTGCCCTCCATCTTTGTCAACAAAGCCTTTACCATTACCTTCAAACATGCCTTCCCTTTCTGAAGATGGTTCCTCAGACATCACTGTGACAAGGACCAGATCAGGCCCAAGAGGGTCTGCTGCCTTTGGTTCTGCTGCTCTGTGCTTGTTCTCATTCAGGCTACGTGTCTGGTCTCTCTCTGTGTGGCTGTGCTTTTTCCTGTGCTCCCTGTTGGCTCTGAGTGCTTGGACTTCTGTGGCCTTAGATGTCCTGTAATGCTCCAAGAAGGCACACACAGCTCCATTGAGGTAGTGACAATTGACTTCGTGGGATATTTCCTCAGCCTAAGGAAAAAGTAGACCCTTTAGAATGGCTACACACTTTCCATTCAATTGGAAGACAAATGTCCTGGTCAGGGTCAACAACACAGGGAACTAAGTGCTACCGCTTACCTCAGTGGGGTTTAGCCAAGCCCTGGGATTGTGCGGGTTCTCTGCAGTTTTCAAGGCGCACACCAGCATGCGGGTGATGGCTTCCTCCACCCGAGCGAGATGGTCATCCTCCTAGGTGAAGACAAGAAATGCATTTGAACCATTTGCCTCTGTGTCTCACAGCTTAATGCAGAGAACAGAGTATCCTGAACTTCAAGTTCTGTTCTTTTGCATCAATGTAAGCTTTGTTGCTGAAGGGATGAGTATGCTATTGGCACACCCACAAGTGTAACGCATTCATTAACACCTGCCATCTAGAAGAGCTATCGAATATTTAACTAGTCAAGTTTAGGTATGCAATCTCAGAATTTGTAAGACATAAGTCCTGTGACTTTTTCCCCAATCTTTCCCATTCTTTGATACACTTAAAGTTTCTGGAAAAAGTACTATATTCTAAGGAATAATTCCTACAGAGTGTGACAAACAAATCATATAAGAGATGGGAGGAGATTTATAACAAGTACATTTGGCTCTAAGAATGAGGTTACTAGCCATCCAAACATTCATGATCTTCTAAAATATACATTAGAATAAGCTATAGTTTGAGTGATAAATCACATTCAAATCAACAATCACTGTTTACAAAAAAACACCAAAAAGGAAAAAAAAGTCTGTAAAATATATCATTTAATAAAGATTAACATCAGATTATATAAATAATCTGTACAAATCTAATGAGACAAATGAATTAATTTTTTGATGAACAAAATAAATTAAGACAAGCACTTTGGAAAAGAGAATCACTTGACTAATAAATATATGTGAATATGGGGCCCAGGGGCGTGGCCTAGTGGCTAAAGTCCTTGCCTTGAACGCACCGGGATCCCATATGGGCGCCGGTTCTAATCCTGGCAGCTCCACTTCCCATCCAGCTCCCTGTTTGTAGCCTGGGAAAGCAGTCAAGGACGGCCCAAAGCTTTGGGACCCTGCACCCGTGTGGGATACTCGGAAGAAGTTCCAGGATCCTAGCTTCAGATCAGCATAGCATTGGCTGTTGCGCTCACTTGGGAAGTGAATCATTGGACGGAAGATCTTGCTCTCTGTTTCTCCTCCTCTCTGTATATCTGACTTTGTAATAAAAATAAATAAATCTTAAAAAATATATATATATGAATATGCTTAACCTCCCAGGAAACTTAAAACAAAGAAACTCATGAAGTCAGACATGCAATCTAATGATGGAAGTCCACTCTGACACAGCCATGGAAAATATGTTGGTATTGTCTCTAAACCTGAGCAAAGTACCCTCTATAGACCAGCAATACCACTCTCACACCGCACACAATGAAAACCTTCCAATGAAGGCCTACATACAAACAAAACATCACAAGCAACCCAAAGACTACAAGAAAATACATATAAGTGAATGCCTTAAGGCACAGAAAAGAGAATAATCTTTCTATGACTCGAAACCTCAAAACAATGAAGTTCAATAACTTGTTCTGTTGGTGAGGTCCTTGAAGAAACAAGCACACTCAACTACTATTAATGCACATGCTAAACAATTCAGTGACAATCAAGCAGGAAGAGCCATATAGTGACAATAAAGTTGAATTAGGCAAGATCTAAGAAAGCTAAACATACAAGTACTCATTTTTAAGAATGAGTCCAAAGATGACCTTAACAAAAACAAAACAACATATGCACAAAGTTAGTCACTGATGCTGCCTGTGGTGGCGGCAGACTAGGAACAACCAAAACATCCATCCACATGGGCACTAGGGACTAACAGCAGAGTCCCCATCTCATGGAGCAGTATGCTGCTATTGGGAAAAAAGTGCAGATTCTACTATTACATAGTCAAATGCAAGATACTGATAAAAGAGAGTGAAATACATAACACTATCATTTATTATTTTCTACGTAAGAAGAGACTAAATAAGAATGTAAAGATGTATTTACATACATACATATAAATATAAGCACTTTTACTTCTCTAACATTATATTCACAGAAAGGGTAAAATGAAATGATAAAAATTGGAAACCAAGCTGGAGCCTTACAGTGCCTGGGAGGACTGCTGGTACAGGGTGCAGGTGCAATCCAAGCTGCTGGCCAACAAGAGCTCAGATGCAATTAAGGCCTTGGGCTGAAGAGACAGACTTGAGCAAGACGGGCAGCTATTGTACTTGTCCAATAGAGCAGGCAGTTAGTAAGCAAGCCCAGCACACTAGAGGGAAAGGCCACTGGCATGGATGAGGCAGAAAACTTGCACCAAATGACTGCCTTGAGGAGACGGACCAGCCAAGAGTGAATATTCTGCAATTAGGGAGGAGGACCCTGACCAAGAAGCAGACATATCCAGCCCAAATGGCGGGAGGTGGGCTGGCACCTGGAACATATATGGCAGATCCAGCCAAGCTCCACACAATATTCCTAACAGCAGTCACCAAGGGAGAGGGTGATGCCAGCATCAGGACCTATCATGTGTTCTTAACACAAAGGGAGTTACTCATAGCTAACATTCCTATTTCCAACTTGCACATCCATCCATCAACAGAGGCTAGAATGCGGAATTACAGTACAGCAAAACAAAGTAATACTGGACTGCTTTACAAGTTGTACAGGCAGACTCTGTGAACCTTCAAAGCAGAGGCTACACTGATTTTAAAAAACAACAGGAAAATGTACCAGCTCAATCCATGAGTTTATACTGACAGTGACAGGATCAATGGATTCCACATAATGCCACCAGTGTCTAGGAACAAACAGAACCTGAAAACCAAAACAAACAAACAAAAAAACTGGTTATCACAAGAACAGGACATTTCAAGCTTCTGTCAGTATTGGAGCCTCACTGAAGCTGCCAGGAAAACAAAGAATACAAATGAACTCACCATACTACAGCTAAAGAAAACACAAGCAAAGGGGCTGGGACTGTGTGTGGCGGGTTAAGCTGTCATTAGGGACACTGGCATCCCACATGGTTTGAGTCCAGGCTGCTCCATTTCCAACACAGCTCCCAGATGGCCCAAGTGCTTGGGCCTCTAGCAACCAAGTAGGAGAACTGGATGGAACTCCAGGGTTCTAGCTTTGGCTCAGCCTGGCCCAACCCTGCTTTTTGTGGCTATTTTGAGAGTGAACCAATAAATGGAAGAAATCCAACTCTCTTAGTTATTGTTTGAAAGAGAGAAAAAAAGTTCTTTTAAAAAAGAAAAGAAAAAAAAAGGAAGGCAAAAAAAATTCCACTCCTTTTTCCTTTTTAAAAATCATTTATTTATTTTTAATTTTAAATGCAGATTTTATACAGAGAAGGAGGGAGAAAGGGAGAGACACAGAGAGGTCTTTTATCTACTGGTTTGTTTTCCAAATAGCTGCAACAGCCAGACCTGAGCGGATCTGAAGCTGGGAACCTGGGGCTTCTTCCACGTTTCCCATGTGGTTGAAGGGGTCCAAGGACTTGAGCCATAGGCAGAGAGTTGGATCGAAAGTGTAGCAGTCAGACACGCACTGGTATCCATATGGGATGCCAATACCAGAGTGGAGGATTAGTGTGCTACCCCCTGTGTTGGCCTCTACTCCTTTCTTACTGACAAATTTATCTTTTCCCAAGCATAAGCTTGCTTCTCTGCTCTCCTTAATCTCAGGCCCTCCCTCTGCATCTAGATCTCAGTGCAAGATTTTGAGGTCCTTTTTCTTTATTTCCACTAGAAAGTAGTTGTATATGTATATTCCAAGAAAGGGCATTGCTAAAAATCTAAGACATGGTTTCTGTTCCCCTTCCCAGTTTGAACTCCTGCCAGTAAGAAGGTAAAATGTGGAAAAGTGGTAAATGAGTGGACATGGGATGCTTGCCAACTTTGGAGGTAACAAAGTGGGCATGAACTAGGTCAGGAGCAACTTAGAGACTCCTGGGAAAGGATGGAGAGGCAACTGATATGCGGCTGTTGAGCGATATCAAGTAGGTCAGTCTCACCACTGCAGAGGAAGCAGCAGGAGACAAGGCGGGAGGACGGTAGAGTCTTCATCCTGTGGATATTGGACGTCTCGGAGGAACCAAGCAGGGGATGCTTAAAGTAAGGGCACTCAGGGTGAGCCTTGTAATGATCCAATCACTGAGTGCTAATATCTAAACAGGAAGTGGGCAAAGACAAGAAATGGGCAAAGGCAGGCATCCAGATTCAGAAGATTTCCTATATAAATGAGTGCAGCCGATTTGGAGATGAGATGAAGCCTCTGGGCTTTGTATTTAGCAACAGCCTGGCACTTAGTTCTGAACCAGGCAGGTCTGGGAGTGGAAGAGAATTCCTTTTGGGAGAATGGGGCACTAACATGGCCACTAGATTAAGTCATTAGAAAGTTCATGAATGTCCAATCATAGTTTCAGTAAAGTGGTATGAGAAAGAACAGAATTAAAGATTAGACAGGATGCAAAAACAAACTGATAGAATAGATAAAACCTTTCATTCACACTGGGTTAGTAATGACAGAAAAGAAAACCACTTGCAACCAATACACCTCCAACTTGAATGGTTACAAGGGTGAGGATAAAAAAGAACAGTAGGGGCAGGCATTTGGCCTGGTGATTAAGACACTTTGGGCTGACATGGTGGCACAGGGGCTAATCCTCTGCCTACAGGCACTAGCAACCCATATGGGCACTGGTTTGAGTTCTGGCTGCTCCACTTCCAACCTAGCTCCCTGTTTATGGCCTGGGAAAGCAGCAGATGATCCAAGGCCGTGCACCATTGCACTCAACTGGGAAGCCAGGAAGAAGCTCCAGATTCCTGACTTCAGATTGGCTCAGCTTTGGCCACTGTGGTCACTTTGTGAGCAAATCAGCAAATGGAGAGCCCCTTCTCTGTCTCTCCTTCTAAGTAAAAATCTGCATTTTAAATAAATTTTCTTTTTCTTTTCTGGAAGACACATCAGGATGTCCTACTTATCTCTGGCTCCTAAATTAGGCTTCCTACTAACGTAATGGATCCTGGCTAGGAGGTCATTAGGAGGGGGACGATTCAAGTGAGTTCCTGCCATGCACATGGGAGACCTGGATTGAGTTAGTGCCTCCTGGATTCACTCTTAGCCTACCCCAGCTGTTGAAGGCATTTGGGGAGTGAACCAGTGGATAAGAGCAAGTGTACACTCTCTCTTAAACCAGAAATCAGAGGAAACTCTATCTCATGGATTTTGATGTCTTTGTTTTTACTTTCATTTCTTCAAAACAGTTCTTTTTCTCATTAAATTCTTTAATGACTCATAGAACATACAGTAGCATCATTTTCTTCAAGAAGGTTCTTGATTTTCTTTTTCATTACTTCAGCGACACATTAGTCATCCAGTAGCATGTTATTTAACTTCATGGCATTGAAAATTTCTTTTTTTTCTTCCTGTTGATTTTGTTTTGTGAGTTTTTATTTAAGGGGATGTATAGTAACTGTGTAATGGAGACTATCATATTCAGAATAGTGGCGTGTTGTTTCACCTCATGGCATTGTAAATTTCTGTTTTTCTTTCTGTTGATTTTGTTGTGGCTTTTCACCTGGGAGGGATTTACAGTGACTGTGTAGTTGAGACTGACAAGTCCAGATGTGAGGATATGGTACAGAGCGCATCCCTACTTTTGGATCAAGGATGGGCTCCCAGTGAAACTGTTGGATGTGTCTTGACAATGGGATGCTGGACTTTGCCATTGTCCTTGCCTGTAATGATGGACTTACGACTATTTATTATGAGGAACTATGCTGTTTTAATGGTATGGGAGAACTCAGTGTTTGGGGAGAGGATTTGTGGGGAGGGGATAGGGGAAATCCCAAGGTCTATGGAACTATATCATAAAATGAAAATAATAATTTAAAAAAATGAAAAAAAAAGCAAAATGAGAAGTGCTGGAAGAATATGAACAAACTCACACATTGTTGGTGGGGATATAAAAAATGGTATAGCCACTGTGGAAAATGGACAACACTCTTGTCAATGTGTCAGAAACATTAATCATGACAGTCACATCCATTCTTGCTTAAAAGTAAACCATCCTTAGCTCCTTCTGCTGTGTTGGACACTACCCTGATGTACTTCACCCAGCACTGCAGTTGAAAAAAATAACAACCAAGAAGCAGCGTTCCAGAGGTGCTCCAGCACCCCTGTCTGGACACTTTGTCTTAACTTGAATGAAATGGCTTGTGGGCTCATTTGCTTCTCCAAAGCCCATCTGCCCATGTTCCCTCCTCCCATTTCCCAGCAGGGACCTGTGAAGAGAGGTGTGTGTGTCTGAAAACCTCCAGCCAGGAAAGGAAACTATCCTCATGAAGAGGGCCGCGAGGGGCTCCATGGCATGGAAGGCAAGTGAGCCACAGCTGCGGGGGCACCCATGTTTGGAAGCCCTGTTACCTGTCCTGGGCTCAGCGTAACCACATGTCTTTGGGCTTTCTGGAACTGAGGAAAACGGTTTAAATCCGGGTTGACGACATTGACCTTGCTGAACACACTGGATTCTTCGTAAGGGATTCTTGTTGGATAAAGGAAAGGAGTATCTTCAGGAGGGAAGAGATGCCATCTTTTCCTAAGTAAAAATGAGAAGAGGATACCAGTTAGTATCCTGCACTTGAGACAACATGTGAATGCAGCAGCAGCTAAGTGGCTGTTTTGTTTTTACTCATTTAAATTCAATGCAGAAGCAAATGCAGGTGCCATCAATGGTCACCTGACCCACTCAGTTCTGGATTGCCCCTGCAGACACCTCAACACTGCAAGCCCCCTAGCGCAGCTCTTTTCACTGCTGGGCCAATATCTTGTCTGGAAGATGACTTTTTCTTGTCACAGGTCAGTCTTGCTCCTCAGAAATCTTCATCCCTGCTATGGAGCTACCCAAACTCTTTCCTCTTTCGAATATGCAAGCACAGGTCAGTCTGAGCAAACCCCAGCCTTCCATACTGGAGTTTTCAGACTTCTCATCCACGTGATTAATTCCACGAATTAATTATCTGTTAAGTCAATCCATTAAACAGAAGAAATGCATTAACAAAGCTGGTACTGTAGTGCCTGGGGTGCTCTGTATAAAATATGGGAGAGCCTGGTTCCAGTCCCAGCTGCTCCACTTCTGATCCAGCTCCCCACTAATGCGTCCTGGGAGGTAACAGATGATGGCAAGTGCCTGCATTCCTGCCACTCACAAGGGAGACCCAGGTGAAGTTTCAGGCTCCCAGCCTTTTGACCTAACCCAATCCTAACTGTTGTAGCCATTGGAGTGTGAACAAGCAGAGGCAAGCTTGATCTCTTGATTGCTCACTCTGCCTTTCAAACCAACCAACCAACCCTAAATAATGCCATGTAACTAAAAGCAACATGAATTTTCAAAAGGAGAAAATCCAATCACTTATTTTTTTTAATCTTTAGTGGAGGTAATAGATCTTAACTCATAAAACACTAGATACAATATGCTTCATGATAAAGGAAGGATACATGAAGCTAAATGAGCAATGTATAAGAGATACAAACGGGGCCAGCATCACGGTTCAACAGGCTAATCCTCCACCTGTAAGCACCAGCATCCCATCTGGGCAGTGGTTCATGTTCCAGCTGTTCCACTTTTGATCTGATACTCTGCTGTGGCCTGGGAAAGTGGCAGAGGATAAACCCAAGGACTTGGGACCCTGAACCTGCATGGGAAGCTTGGAAGAAGCTTCTGCCTTCTGGCTGTAGATTGGCTCAGCTCCAGTCACTTTGGTCACTTGGAGAGTGAACCAGCAGATGGAAGATTCTTCCCTTTCTGTTTCTCATTCTCTCTGTAAATCTGTCTTTCCAATAGAAATAAATTGATCAAAAAAAAAAAAGAAGAGATACAGACAGATAGAAATTTATAGATGCACAGGTGTTTGGCACCACTTGGCAGGCACACATCCTGGATCAAAAGAGCCTGGGTCCAGGTCCCTGGTCTATTAACATCCCAGTTCCCTGCCGAGGCACACCCTGCAAGATGGCAGAGGACAGACAAGTTCTGGGATCTCTGTCAGCCTCGTGGAAGACCGGGATCCTGGTTCCTGGCTTCAGCCTGGCCCAGCCCTGGCTCTTGTGGGCATTTAGGGAGTAAAACTGCTTCTGGAAAACACAGCTCTTCCTCTCTTGTCTCCTTTTCCTTTGCTCTGCTGCCCTGCCCTTTCAAATAAATAAACAAAAATGGGAGAGAAAAAAGAGAGAACTAGAGAAACAAAAGCAAAACACCCCTTCCTCTGAGAACAAGAGTCCCCAAGCCCTCCGTGGCCCTCTGCAGTTATGGGAAATGCCAAGTCCTTTCTGAACTGAGAAGCAGGACCTGTTGTTTTCAAACTAAGAAATTTACACTAAAGCCTCATTCTCTTGGAGATGTGAAGGCTTGGAAGGACTAGTGAAATGCTTCAACTTTTAAACACTCATTCTGGGACTAGAAAGCAGTCTTTCAATTTATATGGCTTTACCTTAAACATAATGCAAGGTCAAAACTTGTTTGTCTCATCTCAAAGCAGTGAGAAATTCAAGCTGCTCTATCCCATGGTACCTGGTTTGGAGGTGGTTCAGAAGTGGTTCCAGTATTCAGTAGTGAAATATCAGGTCTAACATTAGGGACGCCATGTTGAGCTGGGCTCCATCTTAGATGAGGTACCATCCCAACCAACCTGTGAAACTGTAGCTTGGCCAAGAAAACAGCATCCCTGCTTGGCAAGAATGCATGAACCCCTGGCTAGGCTGTTCAAGCATGACTAGGAGAAAAAGAGTTTTACCTGGTACAGTAACAAAAGCTTGTAACATTAGTGATTAGTAATTTTGCACCCCAAGATAGTTCTGCATTAGCTCAGTGTATTAACATTTTAGGTTTAGAGGGACTCCAAAGAGCTCGTCAGTCAAATTTCATTTTTAGGGTGGTGGCCGAGAGAATCGGTGCCAGTGCCAATCCCGAGCCTCATGGTCAGCTGTAGTCCAGAGCTGCCCTGCCCCCTCCCTGCACTGCAGCAGTGCTTCCTCAAGGGAGTGGCCACAATGCTATTTGCCCTATAAATGGAGCAGCCAGCATTTGAACTGACACCCACATGGTATGCCAGCATTACAGGTAGCGGCTTGATCCACTAATGCCATAACGCTGGCCCCTAAATGTATATTTTGTATAAAAATAGCTAGGCAGAAAGCTCTCTTGTTGAACTGGAGCTGGAATCCCCCTGCTGCAGGATTAGCTTTCTGGAGATGATCTTGGCCATAACTGAGATTCACAAGGAAACCACCATTTCCATAGCTGCCCTCTCACAAAGGAGTCAACAGAACCAGCAGCTAACGGGCTGCCCTGGTCAGGAGGCAGGGCTGTGAGGACACAGGCTGCGGGCAGGGCCGTGCTCTCTCCCCTCCCAGTTCTTCCCTTACACCTCCTCCAGGTGTGCATTCACATTACCTTCCTTGTACCTGGAATACTAAATTGCAACCATAGGAGTCGAGATGGCAGGGTGTGTGGGCTCCCAGTGAGCCGATCCACAAGGTACTTTCCTGTCCATTTCTTCCAGGAAACCCAAAGTCGGACCATATCACCTCCTGTTTCAAAACAGAACGAGTCCATCAAGAACCAACCGACTGCCATGTGGCAGTGTTGAACATTTCCACTTGAACATCTGCTTCTGGGTACTGGGGATTTTCTCTTATAGAACATGTTACAGATGGAGGAGGTAAAGTTTCCAAAGTGGTCCAAGAAATCCTTTTAACCACTAACACATTCAAATAGGCTCCGTAATAGTAGTCATTCACCAAATATTTACTGACTACTTGAAATGTGCCAGGAACTGTTCTAGAAGCTTGGGATGAGTCAATGAACAAAACAGACAAAAAAGCCCACCCAGATGGAGCTTACACTTTACACAGGCTGGAGACAGACAACAAACACCAGACATGACTATGCAGACATCCAGGAGAGGGTGTCTCAGACACTGTGGGCTCAGTGAGTGCTGTTTTAAGATCTCTGGATCTGCCATCTTGAGAAGTCACAAGGCCATATTTCCTCTGAGCAGTGCAGCTACTCAGAGGCAGAAACAGCTCAGTAATTCTGTGTACTACAATGATTACATTTAATAAAGCCTTCTCCTGGACTGGGGTACCTATTTAAAACGACAGATTCCAAAGCACCGCTGTTCGGCCTAGTTGTTAAAATGCTAGTTACAGGGTCAGTGCTGTGGCTCAGCGGGTTAAGATGTAATGCTGGGATCTCATATAGGTGTTGGTTTGTGTCCTATATGTATGATTTCCTCCCTTGTATGTGTGAGTTTATTTATTTGTTTGAAATAGTTACAAAAAGAGTGAAAAAAAAAGTGAAAGAGATTTTCCATACACCAGGCTCACTTCACACACAGCCACAGTGGCCAGGGCTGGGCTGGGCTTGGCTGAGCCGGGCTGAAACCAGCAGCCAAGAGTTTCAGCCAGTTCTCCCACATCAGTGCAGGACCTAAGCACTTGGGCCATCTTCTGCTGCTTTCCCAAACACATTAGCAGGGAGCTGTATTGAAAATGTACTAGCCAGGACTAAATTTCAGGCATCCATACAGGATGCCAGCATGCTACAGTGCCAGTTCCTTTTTAAGGAAAAAAGCCCTTTAAGTTAGTCTTTTTTTTTTTTTTTTGGTAGGAAAATTATCTTAGGCACATAATGAGAAAAGAGGTAATTCACTCTCCACCCAAAGATGGGGCCAGATAACTAGCTATATTCTTTTCTAAAAAACAAACAAACAAAAAACAAAACAAAAAACTTATTTATTTTATAGGCAGAGTTACACACACACACACACACACACACACACACACACACACACACACAGATGGACACTTACACTTACATCCACTGGTTCACTTCCAAGTGGCCTCAATGGCCAGGATTGGGTCCGACCAGGACTGGGAGTCAGAAGCTTCTTCTGAGTCTCCCATGTTGGTGGAGAGGCACAAGCACTAGGTCATGTTCTGCTGCTTTCTCAGGTGCATTAGCATGGAACTAGATGGGAAGTGGGACTCAAACTGGTGCTCAGATGGGATGCAGGTGTCCATAGGTGTCACAGGCTTAACGCACTGGACTGTAACACTGGCCCCAACACTCACATTCTGATATTCTAATATGCCTCACCAGAAAGTATTGGCAGTCCTCAGACCCCTTTAATCATTACCAAACACACTCTTATTGTGGTAAACATAAAAAAAATTCCACACTTTAATCTACTGCATTTTGTGTTTCTGCATCCTGGAGACTTAACAAGGCTCCATCCACATACTCAGGAGGTACCTGAAACTCAACATAAAGTGGAATCTACCTGAGGGTTGTTCCTGGGGGGAAATGCAATTTACCACATGTTTATTCTTTCTTTTGAAAAGTTATATTTATTTGAAAGGGAGAGTGACAGAGAAGGAGGTCTGCAGGGATATGTGTATATACATATATGTATATATACATATATATATGTATGTATATCTCAGTTGTGTATTTCCTGACTCCCTCCCCAAATTCCTGTAACAACCAGGGCTGGGCCAGGCCAATGCCAAGAGCTTGGAACTTTCATAAGTGACAGGAACCCAAGAATTCAACCCATCATCCACTGCCACTCCAGTGATCCTTACTGAAAACTGAAAAAGGTAAAAAAATGTCATTTTTACTAATGAGTAGAGACAAAAGAAATTCTATGTGGTACTGTTACAGATTCATATACTCCTTGGCAAGTAGAAAGGGAAATTTTCAAAGTAAATGATATAATGTATTGATTAATTTTATTGGCCACACTTGGAAATTAGCTAAGTGCCAAAATCATAATCTTAGGCCATCTTTAAAGCTAACAGATATGTTTCAATATCTGCAACATGGCAGTATATTCACTAGCATTTGTCCACAAATACACAAATATTAACATTCCACATTTTGCCAGTGTGTTTGAATATGAGCAGTCTTCAAATAACTCATGGAATTGTGTATTAAAAAAAAACTATGCATGAATTTCAAGATTTCTTACACCAAAATACCCTTAAGTTTTAATTGTACTTTCCATACAACACGTAAAGTACCCTTGTATTACATACTTATCAGCTGCTGAATGTAATTTGTTGAAGAATAGAGTTAACAGAAAATTCAAGCAGAAGATGAAAGTAAAAACTAGTGGATCTAAGAATTCCGTATCAAGATTGATGAATTTTTGATGAACTTAAATCCACAGAAAATCTAGCGATAGTGAAGCCAAGGATTTAAGTCAGAACAGTCTCTGAAGGGTTCTAAAGACCAAAGAAATACCAAATAAGAAATGCTAAGACCAGGGGGAATACACTTTCACAATCACTCAAACATCTGTTATATATTCAGAATGATTTTAGTAGTTTTGGGGGATAACAAATGATGAAACATGGCTCAAAGAAGTTATGATATCATTAAAGGAACAATACACAAGCATTTTGTACCAGGCGACACTGAAATAACAATCCCAAGAAAGCTTACAGGAATGAAGCCAGGAACAAATGGACATGGGTACAGGTGGCTGAAAAGGTTTCCTAGCTGAGGCTGAATATGAATGAGTAGGGGGTGGTAATAATTTTTCTGCCAAGGACCATTTGCAGAATCATAGCATACAGCCAAACAAAATTAGGAACTTGAAAATTAACCTGCTATAAATTAATTGAATTTCAAGTCATGCCTGTGGTTGCTTTGGCAGCACCATACCAGGCATGATGTTCCTCACTCCTGCCCTAAACAACAGAGTCTAAAATTTTTTCTTTATCAATTTCATTTATCTGAAAGGCAAAGAGACAGAGAAAGAAAGAGGTAGAAAGAAATTTTCCATTCACTGATTCACTCCACAGATGCTTGTAACAGCTGGGGTTGGGCCAAGCTGAAGCCAGAAGCCAGGAATTCAATCTGGGCTTCCCGTGTCGGTGGCAAGGTCCCAAGCCCTTGAACCATCACCTGCTGCCTCCCAAGGTAACACTAGTAGGCAGCTGGATCAGAAGCAGAGCCAGGACCTGAAGCCAGGCACTCTGACACAGGATGTGGGCATCCCAAGCACTTGCCCACCACGAGAGCAAATGCCCTCCACTGCTCTTCTCTTTGTAAACAGCTTTAGTGGGTATAACTGATGTGCAGAAAGCAGCCTGTATTTAAGGTGTGCAGACTGAGGAGCATTTAAATAAGAATATGTACATCCATGAAGCTACTATTACAAGAGATATGGCCACCATTGTAATCATATCCACATTTCCCAATGTTCCTAAGAAACATCTTCTCCCTATACACTCATACTCAGTCAGCTGCTCTACTTTCTGTACCATGAATTAATTTCCAAGTTCCATATTTTTAAAACAGTTTTTATTTATTTTTATTGGAAAGGCAGATATATATAGAGGAGGAGAGACAGAGAGGAAGATTCTTCATCTGATGATTCACTCCCCAAATGGCCAGAACGGCCAGAGCCCAATCAATCTGAAGCCAGGAGCCAGGAGCCTCCTCCAGGTCTCCCACGTGGGTGCAGAGTCCAAACGCTTTGGGCTGTCCTCAACTGCTCTTCCAGGCCACAAGCAGGGAACGAGATGGGAAGCGAGGCTGATGGGATTTGAACTGGTTCCCTTATGGGATCCTGGCACATGCAAGATAAGGACTTTAGCTATTAGGCCACCACACAGGGGCCCAAGTTCTAGAATTTTAAAGTAATGGAATCATATAGTACCTCCTCATTTAACGAATCAAAGACAAATTAAACAGTGTAGATCTCAGACAAAACAAATACCAGAACAGGAAGATCCTGTGGCAAGCACCTGGCTTACAGTTCTTGGACCACAATAAGAGGACAATTCACCAAAAGGACATCATAATTCTAAATAATAACCACTTACAAATGCATATGGCCAGCATTGTGGCACAGCAATATTAAGCCACCACTTGCACACCAGTATTCCATATCAGAAGGCTAGCGTAAGTCCTGACTACTTTGCTTCTCATCCAGTGTCCTGCTAATGTGCCTGGGAAAGCAGCAGAGGATGGTCTGATTGCTTTAGTCACTGCCACCCAAGTGGGAGGCCAGCGGAGGTTTCTGCCTGTTGGCTTTAGCCTGGCCCAGATCTAGCTCTAGTGCCCATTTGCAGAGCGAACCAGCTGATGGAAGATCTCTGTCTCTCCCTGCCTCTCTGCCTTTGTAATAAATGCATGTCTAAACAGAGAGACAGGGAGGGAGGGAAAGAGGGAAAGAAAGAGAAAGAGAGAAGAGGAAACAGACCAAACCAGTTCGAGGAAAAAAAAAACATTATTCTTATTGGAGGACTTCAATACCTTTCTCTAAATAATGGGCAGAAAATACACAGAGAATCAATGCGGACACACAGAAAAAAAGCGGGAGGCGGAGAAAGGAGATACAACCAACTTGGCTCAGCTGACATTTATTCACTCCACTGCCCAACAGAATACACGTTGCTTTCAAGTGTACAGGAAATATTTATCAAGAGTATCTATATTCTGGGCCATAAAATATGTTTCAATGAATATAAAAAGACTGAAATTAAATAAAACATGAACACAATGGGATTAAACCAGAAATCAATAATTGAAAGCTGGCTAGAAAATACTTTAGTACTTGAAAATCAAACATCTTTAACTAATGAGGAAGGTAAAAAGTAAGTTACAAGGGACATCAGAAAATGTTTTTAACAGAATAAAAATTATTCTGGAAGCTTTCATATCGAAATACATGAATCTGAGAGTTGGCATTAAGGTCCAGTGGGTTAAGCCAATGCTCGCAATGCCTACATCCTGTACCAAAGTACTGCTTTCAGCCCCAACTACATTTCCTCTGCAGCTCCTTGATAAGGTGCCAAGAAAGCAACAACGATGGTCCAAGTACCTGGGCCCCTACCACCCATCCGGGAAACCCAGATAAAGCTCCTGACTCCTGACTTCAGCCTGGCTGAGCCCTGGTCTTGGCAGCCATCTGTGCAGTCAACCAGCAGATGGAAGATCTCTGTCTTTCCCTCTCTGTTCCTCAGCCTTTCGAATAAATTACTCTAACATAAAGGACAGCAGTTTAGATAGTATTTTACACCTTAACAGAAACTCGAAGGGAATAAAAATCCAGTGTTTTAAAAACAGAAAGTAAAACTGATACAGAAAGTACCCCTGTTAAAACTGGTGTGGTGTAAAAAAAAATCACATTTATACAAAAAGACTGTAAAGTACTTCCCTGTATTGCAGCTGCAAGTGTGTGTGAGGCACGATGTTCTTCCTAGTCTTTAAATAGACCAAACTGCAACAGCTTGAAAGGAGAAGCAGTATGAGAACTGAGCTGTCTTCCTCAGTCAGCTTTGTGAAATGTTCAACAATCCACTGCTGTAAAGATGCTTCCCTCTTAAAAATGTTATTTATGTTAAATATGATGCCTTTTATTTTAACTTCAAAATGTATCACATGTAGCATTTAGCTACTCACCATGTTATAACACATGCAAAAGGCTGCAACAGTTCACAGTCAGATTTGGTGACTAAAGGAATGTTAATGGTAAAAGGTAAACCAGAACATAGGCTCCTGTGATGTAACAAGACTTGATGCTCAGAAAAACTCTAAATAAGATATGATACAATCTTCACGACCTTGGTTGTTCAGAGCAGAATTAATTGCCTAATGTGAGCTGATAACTTATTCGACTGAAAACAGGAGACTTGATAAGAGCTTAGTTATAATTCTACACATTGCCAAAAGGTTGTATTTTATAAACACTCTTGATGAACAGGTCACATGTCTTGAAGCCCAGTGCTGCCACGGCTCAGATGGGACAGATCAACTGATGGGGTCAAATGAGAGCTGCATGTGAGGTGCAATGAACCTAGACCCAGCAGAGAAGGCAGCCCCTGGTCCAGCCTGCAGTGTGCCTGCAGGTCTGCAGGAACATGGACTCTGGGGGCACTTTACAACTCGAAGCTCTGCAGCAGTGGCACCCGTGGATCTGGGCAGACCACCTGGGTTACACTCAGTGGTATAATCATGGGAAAATATTTACAGAACTTCTTTGTGCCTCTAATTTTCTTAAAATAAGGGTAATTACTAGGTCACAGTGCTACTTTACAGCTTCTAAATTATTTACAAAGTGGTAAGTATAAATATTGATATAGCTTGAGCAATATATTACTATCACATAATTTTTTTTTTTGCCTGAAACATAAAGCAAAAGAGTACAAACTAATCTATATCACAGGTAGGGATGTAAACAATCTAACTAATACTCTAGTAGTGAACTCTGAACTGGCAAAGTCCCAGGGGTTAAAAATGGGCTCACAATTAACTTGGTGAGGAAATGGTTCTCCAAAACCAAGATAAACAGTGAGAAAACAATGCATTTGAGGTAGAGTTTGGATTTGGAAGCATTTACTAATGTGTGCAAAACCAACACATTTCCTTCTTGGATGTGAGTTAACACCTTTTTAACAAATAAAAAATTAAGCAAACATAAAAAAATTCAATAGAGGGAAGCTACAAAATATTGGCAGCTATATTAAAATTGCTGTGTACCCACCATCATATATACCTTGACTCAAAGTCAAAAACACAGGCCAGAGGGCAAGCTTCTCTGGGAACAAAGAACTGTGAGCTCGGGTGAGGCTGCCTCACCAGCATCAGAGACTATTCTCCATGCCCGTGCTTAGGGCAGGACAAAGGACTATGGGACCTCATTCTAAAAGGGGCAAAAAGTTACCCAAACATTTTCCTTTCCATTCTTGCCCCACGTGTAAGCCACCGCAAGGAATCTGCAAAATCATCCTACTGTGGCAGTTTGAGGTTAAAGACAACAAAATGAAAAATACTTAAAGGAGGATTTGGCAATCAGCCAAGTCTGTGGTTGGTTCTGTGAGCATGGTGGCAAAAAATCTCCACCTTTCTCCTCCTGCCGGTCACCGACACACCATGGTGAGGCTTTTGCACACCACATGCCAGAGGCCTAGCATTCCCTGCCTCAGGAGGTGACCCACCAGATCCAACAGCTGCGTCAAGGCCCCAGCGCAGGACAGATGGCAATGTTGGCCCAGACAGCCTAGGGACAACTTCCTTCTGCACGCAGCCCTGCATCTCTGCCTGCCTCATCTACAGAACCAGAGCTCCTATGCAGGGCAGCAGAAAATGACATCTACCTCAGCCACACTTCTAATGTACTCCAAACCAGCTCAGGCACTGCTAAAGGCGAAGGAGGGGCGAGTGGGAAGTTTGGTGGCAGGAAAAGAGCACAGGCACTAACTTGCCTTATGTGGGTAAGACACTGTAGACCTCTTATGTAAGTGGACTACTTACATAAGCAAAGGCTAGTGAAGGCAGAAGGCACCGGGAGAATCTAACTTGCAAACTTTTCTCAAGAACAAATTCTTACCAAGGTTAAAAGGAGTATATTGACTTACCTGGAAAACATCTGTCTTGTCTTCAAATAGATTGACAAAATACTTATAGTCAGCATAGGCCCAGAATTTGGAATGATCATAGTCCTTAAATGGTCCAGAATTACTAGCCTGGTCACAGTTCCAGGTTAGAAACTCTTCAAGGGTGGCATCTACGTAGCTACATGAAGTTTCAAACTGAGGAACTGAAATACAAGAGAAAAAAGGCAACTTTCAATGTGTCATGAACAGTTCCCAAGTATTGTTTTAAAGATCGATTTCAACCAAGAAAATTAACTAACATTTAGTAAGTAAAATTTTATTTCTTATTTTTGTAGAGTTAGAACTAGTTAAAATACTCACTCTAGTCATGATTAAATATTAAACACAACTGAGGGGGCAAGCATGTGGCTAAGCCTCTGGTTAGGATGCCTGTGTCCCACATTGCATCACAGGGCTAGTCTGAAGCCTGGAACCCTGGGAGGCTGTGTGGATGGCTCAGGCAATGGGGCTCCTGTCACCCATGTGGGAGACCTGGGTTACATTTGTGGCTCCTGGCTCTGGACACCCCACAGCCTCATCATTAGGGGCATCTGGGGTATGAATCACTGGATAGTAGCTTTGTCTCTCTGCATTTCTCAAATGCATAATGGTTTAAATTATGAAACACTGATTTAGTAATCCAGTAGAATATTTAGGTTATCAACAGACCCTTTCAGGGGCTGTATGAGGTCAAAACTATGTTCATAAAATACTTAGACAGTATTTGTTTTTTCTGCTCTCATTCTGTCCCAAGCACACGGTGCAGTTTTCCAGGGGCTATACAACTTGTGTTGATGTCACTGTTGACAACTGGTAGAATACAGGGTTAGTTTCTTTTGTATTAAAACATCTCCATTTTGATCTTTTAAATATTATTTTATTTATTCAAAAAGGCAAAGAAAAAGCAAGAGACAGAGAACGAGATCACTTATCTGCCAGTTTACTCTCCAAAATGCTGGCAACGGTGGGAGCTGGGAAGTAAATGGGAGTCCCCCACATGGGTAGCAGGGCCCCAGGTATTTGAGGCGTTACTGTTGCACGCCAGGGTACCTCAGTAGGCAAGTGTAATGGAACTAGGACTTTGACCCAGGCACACTGACACAAGTTACTCCAAGAGTGGAAGAGGTATCTTGAAAGGTACACCTAAAACCCAACCAAGTTTGCTCTTTTTTTAAAATTTATTATTTATTTGAAAAGCAGTTAGAGAGAGAGAGAAAACCTTGCACCCGCTGTTTCACTTCCTAAATGGCCATAACATTTAAGGCTGTGCTAGGCCAAAGCCAGGAGCTTCATTTGGGTCTCCCACATGGGTCGCAGGAGCCCAAATACTGCGGCCATCTTCTGCTTTTCCTGGTACACTAGCAGAGAGCAGAATTGGAAGGACAGCAGTTTGGACTCAGTTTACACTGGCGTTCATAGGGGATGCTGGTATTATAGGTTGCGACCTAACCTGCCATATCATGCCAGCTTCCATTTTTATTTCTAATATGGAATCACTAGACACTCATCTACACCAACAAAAGCTCATTGGAATACTCAATTTTTAAGTATAAAAAGGACCCTGGAATCACAAGTTTGAAAAGTATTATTTTAAGTGGAAAGAAATGAAACAAAAATTATCTTTTTTTTTTAAAATAAAAGATTTATTTATTTTTATGGGAAAGGAGGATCAGAGAGGAAAGACAGAGAGAAAGATCTTCCAATTGCTGATTCACTCCCCAAATGGTCACAATGCCTGGAGCTGATCTGATCTGAAGTCACGAGCTTGGAGCTGCTTCTGGGTCTCCCACACAGGAGCAGGGTCCCAAGGAGTTGGGCCATTCTCTACCTTTTTCCCAGGCCACAGGCAGGTAACTGGATGGAAGTGGAGCTGCTGAGACTCAAACCAAAGCCATATGGGATCCCAACACTTGTAAGGTGAGGATTTAGCCATTGAGCCATCACATTGGGGCCCACAAAAATTGTCTTTTAAAAATTTTCTTAGTTATTAAGTGGACAATGACAGTTTAAGAGATGTTCATTTCCTCATCAACTCATTTATTTCAGAATCATTTTTGAAGCAAATAATACTTAGTATTGTTCTCAGGTTTGTTGATACATAAAAGAACTATATGATATTCTCGAGTTCAGAATCTATTTATTTTAAAGATTTATTTTATAATTTTTATCGGAAAGGCAGATACACAGAGAGGAGGAGAAACAGAAAGTAAGTCCTTCCATCCAATGGTTCACTTCCTAAGTGGCTACAATGTCTGGAGCTGAGCCAATCTGAAGATAGGATCCTGGAGCTTCTTCCGGGTCTCCCATGCAGGTAACAGGGTCCCAAGGCTTTTGGGCCATCCTCGACTGTGTTCCCAGGCCACAAGCAGCGAACTGGATGGGAAGAGGGGCTGCCGGGATTAGAACTGGTGACCATATGGGATCCTGGTGGGTTTGCGGCAAGGACTTTAGCCTCGCCTAGGCTATCGTGTTGGACCCCAGTATGTATTTGGAAAGAGGTACAGCCTTCACTAGGGCAATAGAGAACTTGAGGCACCCTGGAAATTAAATGTGAAATTCTGTGCCATAGACATCCAGGAAAAGGCAAAGGATGCCAGAGAAGAGGGTTGATCAGAAAAGCTTTGGGAGAAGTTCTATGATGTGGCCACAGTGGTCTGTTCTTAACAGTACAACTCCAAGGAATCCAGATTGCAAATCTTGGATTAATGTAAGAACTGACTTTCTGAAACAGCAAGGGGATGATTATTATTTGCAGCTATCAGAATATTTCAAATGAATACCATAAAGCTAGTATCTAAGAAATCTCCCTGACTACTTCCTTGGTAAAACATGAAAGCCCCTTAGGAGAAAAGACCACTGATCACAGTGCATACTAGACACAGATACTCAGTAAACCCAAGGCACCCTTCTTCGTGCCCCTTCACTCACAGATTTGTGCCTCTTTAAAAGTTAGCTGAATTAGTACTTGAAAAGGTGTATTCAAACTCCTCTTTCAAGGAGTTTTTAGATTAAAACAACACCCTTCTTTTCATTTTATTTGAAAGGCAGAGACAGGAAGAGAGATCAAGAAAGATCTTTAGTCCCCAAATCCCATACCAGCCAGGGCTGGGCCAGGCTGAAGTCAGGAGCCTTAAACTTCATCCTTTCAGTCATCCATGTGGGTGGCAGGAGCCCAAGTACTTGAGCCTGATAGTACACATCAGAAGACAGCGAGCTAAGAAAGAGGAGCTGGGTTTCCAACCTGGGTACTCTGAGCAGGATGCAGGATGCAATGCCCACCCAGAAAGGTTTTTATCTTTTCCCTCCTTTCTGTTTGAACTGCTCAGGATTATCCAATTGCCCCGCCCTACTTTTTTTCTAAAACCACAGGATGATAGAGAGGACAGGGCATATGTCGGTGAACTATTTTAGTTCATCTACTTCATCCAATTGTCAGCTGCCTTTGAGAAGCAGGAGAACTTTACTGGGGCACAGAACTACCTAGACCTTGATATATTTGAGAATGCCTTGGCAGATGGTAAACCATAAACATATAGCAGCTTGTAATACTAGTGACCGCATTAAGAAATTACTGTAGCAGGATAGCAATACAACAATTTTATTGTTGACAAACAAAAACCACAAGTGGCAATAAAGCTTCACGATGCTTGGAAGCTGTAGTCATTTCTAAGTCATTTTTGCAAATTCTACGGTAAGACTGAAGACATTAGACCATGCCAGTTTTCCACTTTGTGCAAGTTGATCCAGCTGACATGACTGAATGCCAAAGCCATTAGCTGAGCCACCACCTGCCCCTGGGGCAGCACTTTCAACCTGGGGTGCACCGGGGCAGCACTTCCAGGGTAGGTCAGTTACAGCAGGCACCTCTTCATGGCAGTCCCAGAACTTGGTCTCAGGAAGGAGCACCATTTTTCCTCATGCTAAGTTCTACATGCTTAAAATGTAAAAGTTACTGGTGATAACTTTTACAGCCGAGGGAAAATTACAGTGAATGGGCTGAATGGAAATGACAGGCCCCTTTTATTTCCATAGTGATTTCAAAATAGCACCTTTTCATTCAGTGCTGGTAGCAGCTCCACCAAAGGTCCTCTTTCTGTGACTTTATTTTAATGACAATTTCTTTCTGGACAGTACAGTTGTTTTGTTAATTTACTTCTTACAATGGATTTATTCCTAATTTTGCAATTATTGCTCTGTCATTTAATTTTGAAGCAGGTGAGGTAGCAGCAAATGGGTGAGCTAAGAGGCTCAATTGAGCTCAGGACTTGGTAGGAGTGAACAAACTGAGCTTGCTTTTTAACTCTCATAAAAAGGCATTCTAGAACATTTGACACAGCAGGAAAATAAATACTTATCCATTTTGTTAGCTTTTCATCATCTTAGAAACAGGAAGCAATGGATGCAGTGTGAGCTCTAAACAAGCTATCTGATGATTACTTTATCTTCCTACTCACAGATATTGAGGTTTATTGCCATAATTACTTGTCAAATTACTAGCAACTCTGGCACTGAGCACCCATGTTGACAAACGAATTTGGTTCAAAATGGTTTCAAAGATGTACGTGATAATCACCCCCTGCCTCAAAAAATAAACCAGGGGACACTTTAAAATGCCACTAACACTACTGCTTCAAGCATCCTAGAAAACTTTCAACCAAAATCTAAAACAGAAACAAGAAACTGATTCAACAAGAGAAAAGTTATTATTTATTAAGATCGTATGCCTATTTACCTGGAAAATCTGTAAAAAACCAGCAAAAAGCTATCTAAGCTAGGAAATGGTTGGATATAAAGTAAACATATAATTCGGAACAATACAGGTAGAACCTGAGGATATTATGTAAAGTGAGGTTAAGCCAGGCAAAGGAACACAGATATTACATGTTCCTACTCAGGAGTAAAATCTAAAAAGTTTATTTCAAAGAAGTACAGAATAAAACAGTAGATGCTAGGGCTGGGAAGGCTATGGGGCAGGCATGCAAAGGCAGTGACCTGTTCTACGGAAATCCTTACCCACTGTTTTCTGCAGCTTTAACAGCCCTCAGCAGCGCCCCTCTGGCCTGCCCTCGTGTGGTGTGCAGCCACAGCAGTGGGCTAGGGATGTTGGCGACTCTGGACAGCCTTTACCTGGCAGTGTACTCAGCCATGGCAGGGAGAATCTTGT